GTAGCGCACGTGGCAACCCCCCGCGCTTCCTTGCCTCCCATCCACCGGACCCCGTCTGCGCTTCACTTTGTTTCGGGAGGGGCTGCTCACTGCTCATTGCTCATTGCTCATCGCACACTGCTCAACGCTCATTGCCCTATATCCCACCCAGCCGCAGGACTCTACTGCCCCCGCGCCCCGCCCCATCTGGCCGCTTGCGCGCCCCATCCCCCCTCGATGGGGCCCGCCCACACCGGGGCCTCCCCCCTCCCGCCCACTGCTTTCTCAACGGCCCCGAGCCGGGGCTGCCCTCATTGCATACATAGTGCGCCTTTCCCTGCTTTTCTAGTGACCTAGCGTTCCGCACTGCCGTTTGGCCAGCCCATGCTCCCGTACCGTTGCGTTTCTCCCCAATGCGCCATGCCACTTTGCCAGTCATACACACGTTTCGATGCGTGCCCTGTCAGCTGCTTGCGTTGCATGTCGCCTTGCTCCACCCCTGTTTTATTGCTTTCTCTGCTTTCGCCCGGTTCCCGTCCCGTTTCGGCGGGGAGTCTATGTTGCAAGCTAGTTCTTGCTTTACCAGACTTTAAGCCCACACAAGCCTCTACTCTGCCGCCACCAAGCAGTGCACACATGCCAATGATGTGGGCATCTCCTGCAAGGGTAAGTTTGCATGTGTCGGGTGGCCACTGCCAGGCCGCCGCGACGTGGGGGGCTGCAGCTCGCCGCACCGGATCATCACCATGATGGTGCTGGCTGCGATGTCACTGCAGTCCCCAGCTTTTTGCTGACGAATACCTGGAATGGTCTTAGCGAGGGCTTTCTGGAGGTGACAGTGGATTATCCGGACATTAATCAGAGGCGTCGCCTCCTGGACCACGAGGGACCCAGTGGTAGTGCTAGTGGTGTAGTCTGCCGCGACGGCTTCACCGCCAGGGAGGCGCGGGTGGCATGCGGCGAGCTGGGCATGGCAGGCGGCAAGGTGGCGCCATACGAGCCTGAGCCTCCAACCATCAAGGGCTACCCCCGTCTGGTCACCAACGTGAAGTGCAAGGGAACGGAGGCCTTCCTCACCAACTGCACCCACGAGCAGTACACGCCATGCAAGAGCGGCAAGGCCGCAAGCATCATCTGCACAGGTGGGCAGCTGCGCTGTGGTGATGCGGGGTGCATCTGTGTGTGTGCAGGAGTGATGCCCTCTTGGCAGCGGCTGCCCGCCCTGCTTGCCATTGTTGCTCGACTGCCGTCCTGCTTGCTCTTATTGCTGCCTGCTCGCTATCTCTGTAAGTCTGGCTGCTGGTGTGCTGGGTGCGTGGCCTGCCAACTGCCTGCCCACGGCATCATGCATGCTTGCCTGCATGTCATGGTAGGTGCCTGCTCACTGCCAGCATGTCTGATCGTACCCCGACTCCAAGTTGGCACCCCACACTCCTGCCATGCAGCCCCAAAGGTCACTCAGGTCCGACTGGCGGGCAGCTCTTCAATCAATCCCAAGGAAGGTCGCCTGGAAGTGAAGGTCGGCACACGCTGGGGCCAAGTCTGTGACCTGGGCTTTGGTAAGCCATCGAGCTGGGGGAGCAGCAGCAGCAAGCCTGGCCACCTTAGCTCTATAGCTATGCCACTGTTGGCAGCCGCGGCCCACGAGTGGCAGCAGCTTGCGTTTCTGGAGCACGTTGAGTGCCTTTAGCACCGCAAGTCCAATGATGGCATGCCTGACTCCACCCTGTCCTGCGCTGTCCCCGCAGACGAAGCAGAGGCTGGCGTAGCATGTCGCCAGCTCGGCTTTTCTGGGGGTAAGCCGTGGTATGGCGTCTTCACCAGCGACCTGTCCACGAACAACTATGCCCTCTCTTCTGTGAGCTGCTCCGGCGAGGAGGCCTCGCTTGCTGGCTGCGAGGTCACCTTTGGCAACGACTGCAGCCCCCCTTCAGGCTACGGAGACAGCAGCGAGTATCACTACTTCGCGCCCGTGGGGGTCAAGTGCACAGGTGAAGGAGCAAGGACTTGAAGGAGGAAGCAGGCGCCACAGCTGCACGGGCGGGCATGTGCAAGCGTTTGCTTGTGGGTGTTGCAACTTGCTGGCGGCTGCTGATGCACCACAGTGTGACGTGTGGGGCATGCGCATTGCTGTGCAGGCACTCGCAAGTGATGCACGCCGCTCCTCAGCACTGCGGCATCTTTCCTCATGCGGGGCTGCTTGCCCACGCAGCTGGCAGCACCCGGTCCCCCGCTGCAGCGGCTGGTGTTGTTCGTAACAAAAGACAGAGCCATCATTTAAGCAACAGAACAACTCCTTACACCACTGGTTTATTATTCTATCCCTCTCACCTGCCTCGTGATCCTTTTAGCTGCGCAGCTGAAGGTAGCTTTTTCATCTTGCTGCCAGTGACGTTTTCTCACCACCATCACTGATGGCATGTCTGTTCATCCCGTTGCGGCGCAGAATGCCGCCCGGCTGCCAAGCCCCCTTGCCTGATCGAGTAGACTCCTAGCACATCCGTCGTATGATGCTGCCAAGCAACGCTTTTCATTTAAGAGCATACGATTGCAAGTTGCTACCAGCGGCGGTGGCGCGGTGGCGGCGGCGGCAGCACAGCAGCTCCAGGGCCACCGCGAGCTTTCAGTCACGATCGCATGCAGGATCGGTGCAAGATGCTAGAACAAATGTCTCTCTTTACATGAGATCATTACACCGTCCACCGTCGCAAACAAACGACTCTGCACACAATTCACGGCGCCGGCGCCCAACACAGTTGGCGCCGCATAGGCGGCGCCCTCAGATGAGTGGGGCTGCGTATCCCCGCGGCCCCCATTTTGTTGCTGTCTCGAGCCTCCCCCAAAACGCGTTTCGTCCTCCTACCTTCCCTGTTACAAAGCACCGTGGGGTTGCCCCTGCGTTGCCGAATCGCCCGAGCGGTGCCGGAGACCCGACTCTCTGAGCACAAGCTTCCAACCCCACCCACACGTAGAAGTAGCCACTCTCCTTGCCCCGCAAAGCAGCGATCGGCGCCGCAATCTCCGATTGAGAGGCCCTGGTGCACGTACTACGAAGCATGAAGGCCCTGGCCTGTCTGCTCATCCTGATGGCCGCTTCCGGCCACGGGACAGATGTCTGGCTAAGGGGAGCAGCGGCGGGTGAGGTCATGAGCCTGCCCCATCTCGTTCCCCCAGCGCCAACCGCCCAAACAGTATTAGGCTTTAGGCACTGCAATTGAGCTGGAATAGCCGCCAGATGTTTTCTGAAGCAAGCTGGCGGCCGCCGATCAGCCCCGCTTCTCTGCCTTCCGCGTACCGACCGGCACTTGCTGCCTGCTGCTCCTGCTCCTCCCTGTGCAGCGCCCCTCCCCGAAGATCTGTCAGTGCCGGTGGATGGTGGTGATGACAGAGTCGCGGCCGCAATGGGTCCGTCCACTGCACAAGTGCCTGCTGTGCCCTACTGCTGCGCCCCTCGCTGCTGCTGCCCGTTCGACTCCCGACACAGCACACCCAAACCGCGCGCCTGGGCCCCCCTGCACCGTTGCAGTGTCTGCGGTCCGCCTGGTGGGCGGCGGCTCGCCCCTGCAGGGCCGCCTGGAGACCAACTTTGGCGGCACCTGGGGGGCGGTGTGCAGCATTGGGTTTGATGTCAAGGACGCCCTGGTCGTCTGCCGCCAGCTGCGCCTGGCCGGCGGCGCCGTCAGCGCCAAGTTTACTGTAGGCGCCCTGCCCTACGCCCTGGGCAACATGCAGTGCCACGGGGACGAGACCTCCCTGGCGGGCTGCCGCTTTAAGACTACCAATCGGTGCAAGGGCGGCAGGCCCGTGGGCATCATCTGCAGGAGTGAGCGGGGAGGGCGCGACTAGGATTGCATTTCCACTGCCAGGCCTGCTGCCGCTGAACCCGCACAGCTAAGCGCACCTGTGCCAACCTGTGGCCCCTGCCCTGCTATGCCCTGCAGATGCTCCCGTTGTCGCCGCACGCTTGTATGACAACACATACGAAAGGCCAGAGGGTGCGCAGCGCGGCAGGCTGGAGGTGCAGCTGCTGCGCCGCGGTTGGGGCACCGTGTGCGACTCTGCCGGCACCTTTGGCAAACGGGAGGCGACTGTGGCCTGCCGCACCCTCAACCTGACGGGCGGTGTGGTCCTGCGAAAGAGCGAGTTCCAGAACAGCGAGCAGTGCTGCGGCATCCGCCCCATCCTCATGGGCAACGTCAAGTGCAAGGGTGGCGAGGCCAGCCTGAGCGGCTGCTCCTACACCACCTCCCCCAAGTGCACCCCGGAGCAGGAAGTGGGTGTCATGTGTGATGGTGAGTGCAGGCCTGGGGCCAGCCAGCCCAGCAGGGCAGCCAAGGAACGGCACGGGGCCTGTGCATGGCTTCCTTCCCTTCCTAGCCCACTCCATGCACCCCATCCTCCCTCCCTGACCTCGTGGATACCACAGAGCCACCTCCTGTCCAAGTACGGCTGGTCAACGGCAAGGCATCTAACAATGGGCGCCTAGAGGTGGGCTGCACTGGGACTACGCCTGGCTGCCCCTCCAAGCCTGCATGGTGGGTTGCGTCTTGAGGTGCCACCACCCAAGGCCGTTGTCCAGCTGGTTCAGGAAGCTCCCCAACCCATGTCTCACCTGGCTGCAGGTGCGCGTTGGCGGCAAGTGGGGCACCGTGTGTGGCACTGGCTTCAACCAGGCGGCCGCTCAGGTGGTGTGCCGTAAGCTCAACATGACAGGAGGCAAGCCACGCTACGGTGCTGTGTATGGCAAGGGCAAGCTCCCTATCCTGCTATCCAACCTGCGCTGCCGCGGCGGCGAGAGCGAGCTGTCGGCCTGCCTCTTCTCTGCCTCCACCAAGCAGTGCACTCATGCCAATGATGTGGGCGTGGCCTGCAAACGTGAGTGGCAAGGCAGGCGGACAGGTGTCGCCAGGAGGTGTTGACTATAACGGCGGGCTTTCGGATGTGCAGGGCGCAGGCGCATGCATGCCTATGTGGCTCATGGCTGGCTGCTGCTGTTGTGGGCTGCATTTCCGGACCGGCGCCTGCCAGCACACCCACATGGTGATTCTCCTCTCTGCTGCAGTTCCCAAGATCACCAACCTGGTCATCTATGGCGGCGGACTTGATGGCTTCCTGCAAGCATTCGTGGAGGGCCAGCAGGACCCCTACTACCCCACCACCACCATCTGTGCCGACGGCTTCACCGCCAGGGAGGCGCGCGTGGCCTGCAGGATGCTGGGCATGGCAGGCGGCGAGGTGGCACCCGCGGTGCCTGCTCCACTCCCCATCGTGACGGCGCCCAAGGCAATCACAGGCGTGAAATGCAAGGGCAATGAGGGGGACCTGTCTGCCTGCACCTACGCCATCAATGGCTTCTGCAAGAACCGCCGCGCCGCTGGCGTCATCTGCGAACGTGAGCCCTGTCGCTGTGCCAGCAGCTGAGCTGCCGCCCACCGCCGCGCTGCGCGGTTGCTGGAGCTCATGCGCGCAATGCATGCTCTGGCAGGGCAGCAAGATATTCCCGCCTGCCAGTTGGCCTTCCTGCCTGCCAGCCTGCCACGCCTGCCACAAGTGCGTATGCCTCCTGCCTGGGATGCAGCTGCGAAGATCACCCGTGCTCGCCTGGTGGGTGGCCCCAAAGGCCACCCTAACTGGGGTCGCCTGGAGGTCAGGGTGGGCTCGCAGTTTGGCTCCATCTGCGACCTGAACTTTGGTGAGTTTGTTTGGGGATGGCTTTTGCGCAAGAAGTGCAGGCTGGCTGTGTTTACAGTTTTTGCACAGGTCCTCCACGCAGCTTGTCGCATTAGTGGCGCAGCAGCTGTGCAGCAGCTGTCGCTGGGATGCCGCTCAGCGCAGCGGCAATCCTCACCTTGTGCCCCTGGGTTGGCTGCTGCAGGCGATGTGGAGGCCGACGTCGCGTGCCGCCAGGTCGGCTACTCCAGCGGCCGGCTGGCCAGCTTTGGCAAGGGCTTGCCGTTCGTGATTGAGCGGGTATCTTGCTTTGGCAACGAGACGTCGCTGTCAGAGTGCACCTTCACCACCGGTGACGACTGCCGTCGCTACGCCTACCAGCCGCCAGACCCAATGGGCAACCCCACAGGCACCCCTGTGGGCCTCTACTGTACAGGTGGGCCAACCCGTGTGGCATTGGTGGCAGGCTGGGAGCAGCTGCGGAGACGCCCGGGCGTTCCGGCCAGCCCGCCTGTTCGTTGTTTGTTGTTACCACCACCCTTTCTTCTTGGTCTTGCTGGCCTTGATCCACCTGCATGCATGTATGCTGTTGTGCAGGCGCCCCTAAGTGATCTGCCCGGCGCAGAAGCGGTTGGCTCTCTGTTGAGTCCACGAATGTGCCAGGGAGATGCGCCCCATGATGGAACCATACCGATTTGTGTTCACCCTGAATGATCGATCCTGCCCATCCCTGTTTGCTGCCTGTGCTGCTGCCGCGCCCGCGCTGTGGCGAGGCACGTGGGCAGCACGTGCATTGGCCTGCCATTTCCACCACCCCGCCCAACGGAGCTTAAATTGCTGATTGCACTGTAACTATCAATGAGTACACAGATGTGCTCGCAGGCCTGCTGTGTTGGCAGGGATACGCCGGCGACAGCAGTACGTGGCACGGGCGTGGGAACCGCGTGGCTGGTCTGCTCGCCCTCATCGCCTCCTCGCCCTGCATCATCGCCTCCTAGAGAGCATTGCCTTCTGCCCAGGGGCCTGTTTTCGTTCATCCATCACCTGCTCCCCATCAAGGCAGCATGACCGTGGAGGAATGGAGCCTGAGCGATTCCCAGCGGCAGGAGACCGTCAGCCGCATGGCCAACAACATCTCGGCCTTGGCATTCTTCAGGGGCACGCCCATCCCCGATGACGCAGTGCAGGCGGCCGCTGCTGCTGTGGAGAAGAAGGCCTACACGGTGGCCCGGGTGGAGGCGCGCACCACCACCGGTGTCAGGTGCGGGCGGCGGCGGCACGGTGGTGGTTGTGTCGTGCAGGTGTCAGCTACACAAGTGCTGATCAGCCACGACTTTGACCATCGGCCATAACTAGTACCACCAGGATGTATGCACCGGCCATTTTTTAACGTATCGCAATGCCGCTCGCTGCTGAGCCTCTTCTTGTCGAATGCACCGCAGGCCGCACCACGAGACACTCAAAGCCTACATCCGCAAGCTGTCTGCGCTGGCACTGGAGGTGGTGGCCTCTGGCGGCGCGGGGCTGGCCGGCAGCGCCGCTGAGGGGGCGCCAGCAGGGCAGGCGGCCGACGAGCTTGACCTGACCGGCAGCCGTGAGTTCCTGACCCGGGAAAGCGCCGAGGAGCTGCTGGCGCCCATGTTGGCGCCTGGGGCCAAGGTTTCCAAGGTGTGCGGGTCTGGTGATGCGGTGTGGATGTCGGTGGGCAGGCAGAGCGGAAGGGTGGTGGTGGCAGGAAGCACCCTGCTGGAGTTCTGGATGGGCTGGTTGCTGGCTGGCTCCGCTGGCGTGACAGCCCCTGCACTGGCCGCCCCCCTGAGACGCCGCCGCCTTCCCCGCCCCGCCAGCAGATCCGGTTCAGCACCAAGAGCTTTGGCGTGGAGGCGGCGGAGGTGGCAGCAAGGGCCATTGAGAATGTTGCGGGCAGCCTGGTGGATGCTGACATGAGCGATATCATCGCGGGCAGGCCGGGTGCGTGCCTCTCCGCTGCCGCTCGTGCCCTTGTTCCAGTCGAACCCAAGCAGCGCTGCATACCTCCTGCTCCCGGCCGCGCCTGGAAGGGCAGCTGCTGCGCTGGCGCGGCTGCTGGCTGCACGCCCCGCCGATCCACAGCCAGCATGCCCTGCTGATGGTCCCCATCCCACCTCACCAACCCAACCGCCTACACATCTCCCGCCCGCCCGCCGCAGAGGCCGAGGCCCTGGCAGCCATGCGCATCATCACTGCCGCGCTGGGGAAGGCGCGGCTGCTCCACCTCGACTTTTCCGACAATGCGCTGGGAGAGAAGGGCATCCGCGCCTGCGCCGCAGCCTTCGTTAAGCAGGTAGGGGCAGGGCGGCATGGGGGGTACATGTGTACAGAGGAAGGGCGCAGAGGCGGTGGTGGTGGTGGTGGTGCGTGAGTGTGTGCAGCGGTGGTGGTGACGATAGCAACAGTACGGTGGCGTGCAGCTGCTTTGGGCGTCGCTGCGGCCCCGCCTTGCACATTGTGGGCCTCGAATCGAAAAGCGCTCTAGCTGCCCTCCTCTTCCTGCCGCTGCCCTACTCATGCCCTTTCAACCTGCCCTTTACTCCCCTTGTCTCTGTCTTCCCGCCGCAGGAGGCCCTGGAGAGCATCGCCTTCAAGAACGTGGGCTGCTCGGTGCACGGCTGCGCTGCGCTGGACGAGTTGATGTGCAACACGGCGTCCCTGCGCCGCCTGCACCTGTACAACAACATGAGCGACAACGAGGGCGCCGCCTCCATCGCGCGGTGAGGAGCCCGGCGGGCAAGGGGGCTTGGCGAACGCGTTTCGAATGTGTGCGCATGCGCATGCGCATGCGCTCCCTGCCCATCTCTGCGGCGCGGGCTCGCCCCCTTCCCTCCCGGACCTTTCCTCTCCCATTGCCCCGCACCCCAGCCCTCCAATCACAGTCCCAACCCCAACCTTGACCCCACCCCCACCCCACCCGCAGCCTGCTGTCCCGCTGCCCCGCCATGGAGGACTTCAAGATGGTGTCCAGCCGCGTGGGGCACGAGGGAGGCGTGGCACTGGCGCAGGGCCTGGCCGCAGGTGGGATGGCGGGGCGGCGGAGCGGGGAACTGGCTGGAGCCACGCAAGACGCTACTGCTTCTTTCTTGTGCTCTCCTGCCCACCTACTCGCCACCCCCTGGCCCACTTTTCCCCCACCCCTGTCATCCGCCCATCTCCCTCCTTGTACCCACACCTATTGCCTGCCCTCCCCATCTCTGCCTGCAGCCAGGGGCCTGGTGCGGCTGGACCTGCACGACAACCCCATCACAGCAGACTTTGCGCCAGCCCTGGCCGCCCTGCTGGCCTCCCAGGCGCACCTCAAGGCCCTGGTGCTCAACGACACGTGCCTGGGGGACGAGGGCGTGGCGGAGGTGTGCGGCGCGCTGGGCGCCGGCGGCGGCGCGCCGCAGCTCGAGGTGAGCCCGGGTGGGGAGGAGGTTTTGCATGGGCGCGTCTGCCAGGCCGTGCCCCACCGGAAGGTTGCGCCTCTGAAGCGACTGCCCCTTTCCAGCCGCTGCCTGCCCATCTCCTCCCTGCTGCCCATGTCTGCACTCCTGCTCCTGCACCAACCCAATCATCACCATGCCCTGCCGCACCTGCTCACGTGGCTGGCAGGAATTGGAGCTGGCCCTGAATGAGATCACGCCACAGGGGGCGGTCGCAGTGGCGGCTGCCGTGGCGGCCAAGTCCTCGCTGCGGCGGCTCAACCTCCGGGAGAATGAGCTGGAGGACGAGGGAGCGGTGATTGTGGCCAAGGTGCGCTTGCTTGTTCAGTGTGGGGTGGGGTTTAGGGTTGGAGGATGGAGGGAGGGAAGCGCTGCTTTGTGCAGCGGACGGCAGCCCTACGTGTGCACCGGTACTTTGTCTGTTGCTGCGACCGCCGCGGCAGGAGGTCGCAGCAACGGCGGTCGCTGCGACTGCCGAGGCAGGCGGCCGGCTAGCCTGCTCTCCATGCTGCTGCGCTTGGTGCCGATGCCTGGGCCGCGCTGAAGCCTGCGCCCTGCCGCGTGCCCCTGCTCACGGAGCGCAGGCATTGGTGGGCCTGACGGCGCTGGAGAGCGTGGATGCGAGCGCCAACCAGCTCAAGCGCGGCGGCGTGTGTGCGCTGGCCAAGGCGTGCGCCCGCAAGCCGGCGCTGTCCCTGCTGGCGCTGGATGAGAATGAGGTGTCGGATGCGGGTGTGGAGGCGCTCAAGGTGAGGGCGGTGTGGTCCCGCTGGCCGGCTGCCTGCTGGCAGAGGATGCCGAGTGGCCTGGGCTGGCTGTGCATATGTGGTGCCGAGTCGCTGGCTGTTTTGGCTGGTTATGGATTGAGTGGCAGGCGCCTGGGCCGCCACACTGCTTCAGCTTCCGGAGCATGGAGTTGTCCTCGCCACTGTGGTAGGCTGCGCCTGCCCCTCTGCTCGCTGCAGGACATCATGCGGCGGATCGGCAAGCCAGAGGCACTGGGCCCGCTGGATGAGAACATGCCTGATGAGGATGATGAGGAAGAGGGGGCGGAGAACGACGGCATCGAGCTGGATGATGTCGCGGGCGACGACCTGGCGGCAGCAATGGGCAAGGCGCACATCTGAGGCAGAGGTCTCCATGGTGTGGCTCTGCGCAGCGCTCGGGCCATGTTTCCGTCCTTGTCCCGGCAGAAGCGGATGCCCCGCTCTCTTTTTATTTCATTGAGCCCGGGCGGTGGTGTTAATTCAGCCGTCAAGCTAAGGTTGGGCACCGCAGGAGCCCGCTGCTTTGGAGAGTAGAATACTCTCGGCAACGGGTCGGTGCCTACCGCACGCCGGCCTGTGGCAAGCAGAGTTGCAGGCTCCATCTCCTGCCCTACTTTTTGCGAGATCAACCGGCTTCTGAGGAGTCTTGAAAACCCGGTCTAATGTACACCACCCATTTACGTGACTTTCAACTCCCCCCCAACCGAAAGCCCAATGGGGCAGCACGCTCCGCACGGGACGCGGTAGGTCTCGTTTCAGTCCATCCAGTCCGTTTCCCGAGCTTGCATCCCTTCAGCGATCATCCAGTGGCTCGTCAGAGATCTTTGGCAAGGCCTGCAGTGAGCTTGCGGGTTGAAAGGCAGTGGTGCCTGGGCATTCCGGTGTTTCAACCAGGATGGCACGCCTTCAGCAAGCTCTAGCAGCCTGCTTGATGTTGCTGGCGGCATCTCAGCTGCGCACAGCAGCCGCAGCGGTGAGGAGGGACGGGCCGCGGGCAGCCGGCATCCTGGAGCCGCGCACTGGCAGCCCCGCTGGCCATGATACACGATTGTGGTGCCGCAATCAGTCCGATCAGGCAGCATACGCGTGGCCAGCCCGCCAGCAAGGGTGGCCGCTCCCTGCCCGCCGCCGCCGCCTGCTCTGCCGCCGCTAGCGACCCCCGCCCACCAACCGCCCGCTCCTGCAATGCAGGACTGCAACCAAACATTCCTGGACGCCATCGGCGGCGGAGACACCTGGCTGTTCCGCCAGGGCCTCAGCCTGGCGGGGTACGAAGATAAGCTGCCCAGCCCCGACATTGGCGTCACCATCCTGGTGCCCAACAACAAGGCCTGGTGGAACTTCCTGTGGCGCAACGGTGCGTTGGGCGCGGGTTGGCTGCAGTGCAGGAGCGCACGAGGCTGGGGCACATGTCAGCCCTCGGTGGCGCAGCTGGCAGGCGGCTGTGCTGCTCCCGCCGGCCGTCAACCCACGACGTGCTTGCCGGAGTGAGCGCAGCTGCTGCCCCCGCCTCCGCAGGCTTCCTGTTTGGCCAGCTGGGCGACCTGGGAGACAAGCTGCTGTCGGTGATGACCTTCCACATCATCCCCAGCGCCGTCACGCCAGACAAGCTGTCGGGGCCTGAGGGTGAGCCTCCAGCTTGTTCGGACGGCAGCGGTTGGCTGGGGCAGCCAACATGATGCCCGTGCAGGCCACCTGCCTGGTTTGGTGGCCTGCATGATGTTGGACCGGCGGCTGGCGGCTGCTTTGCCGCTGACTGGATTGGGCTGTTGGTTGCGGTGCATGCAGGCACGCTGCCCACACTTTATGGGCTGCTGACGCAGCAGAGCGCCGACCTCAAACACTGGACCAAGTTTGATGATGGCCAGTTCCTGTTCCAGGTGCGGGGCTGGCCGCCGGGGGACCGCCGGGGGAGACAGCGTGTGTAGGATCTGTGCTGTCGCTACTCTGCATGTCAAGTCCCGACTCACCCCATCTGCCGCTGCATCCACCCAACCGCAGGGCCCCTGGGACGACACGGTGGCGGGTGTGACGGACGACAACAAGATCCAGGTGTGCAACAGCTGGGTGTACATCGTGGATGAGGTGCTGAAGCCCGCCTACGACCTGGAGTGAGTGGTCGCCCTGCTGGCCTGCCGCTGCCTGCCGGCCCGCTGCCTACCGCGAGCTGCTGTTGCGTGGTGCATGTCCAGGTGGTGTCGTAGGGCGGAGAGTGCGAGGGCTGGCCAGCTCCTGCAATCTGCTGCTGCCTGCTCGCTTTCCTAGCTGCACCCGCCCGAGCCTGGAGCCACCCTGTGGCATGCCTGGCTGACTTTTTTATTACTCTCTGGTGCAGCGATGTGCTGGATGTGGAGATCCCCGATTTCTCGTTTGGAGACAACTCTGCGCCCAGCCCCTCGCCAAGCCCCCCACCCCCTCCCAGCACGGTGCCCACTCCCACCCCGGCACCCGGCAGCCCCGCCGCCGGCAGCCCTGCGCCGGCCCCCAGCACCCCAGCGCCGGTACGCAGGCTGCCGTTCAGTAGCCAGCGGTCCATGCATCGCTCCGGCCGTGTGCTGCCGTTGCTAGAGACACAATCTGCAGTTCTGACGGGGATGCCACGGCTGCCATTGCTTGCAGCCCGCATGCGACAAGACGTTTGCCCAGGTGGCAGGGGAGACGAGCGGTCTGGGCCTGCTCCAGACGGTGCTGTCGCAGGCGAGTGGTGGGTGCGCTCGATGGCTGCGCTCCAAAGTCCCACTCTCCCTTCTCAACAGCCCAACCTGCCGGCGTCAGCTGCTGGTCTGTGCCTCCCAGACTGGCCGGGCGCTTTGTAACCGCCGGCATTGCCACCGCTGCTGTGCAGGACGCGTACGCCTCTGCACTGCCCGACCCATCCAACGACTTCACCCTGTTTGCCCCCACCGACGCCGCCTTCTTCGACCTGCTGAGCACCTTCAGTGAGCCTGGGCCGCCGCTCGCCTTTGCACCGCTGCCGCTGCAGCGGCTGCTGCCTGCATCTCCGGGCTTGAGCAGCAGACGCCACCCCACCTGTGTGCTGTGCTGCGCTGCGCTGTGGCCGTATGCACTGGTGCATTGGGTCAACCACTCGCCCACCATCCCCCTCCTCCCTGCCCACCTGCAGACCTCAGCATCACCGACGCCCTGTCCCTGGGCGACAAGCTGACCGCGGTGCTGCTGTACCATGTGGCGCCTGGGGCCCTGACGCCCGAGGAGCTGGCCAAGCGTGAGTGGGTGTGGTGTGCGATGGCTGTGTACTGATTTGTTGTGTTGTCAATGGTGGCAGTGAGATCTCGACTCGTCGCGTCAACCTGCTCTCTTGTTCAGATTCAACTCCAAAGCCTTCTGCCCTGCCACCCTGCAGAGACGCTGCTGACCACGGGCCTGGCGGTGAAGACAAAGGATGCGGGCTACACCGTAACCGTCGGCGCGTCAGGCGGCAGCGTGAGTCCCTGGGCTGCCCGCTGGTTGCTGTTGGCTGGCCAGCTGCTGTCCTCTCCTCATTGTGATGTTTAGCTTTCAACAGACTTTCCTCTGTGTGTTTCTCCTGCCCCATCCACCGCCTCTCCTCCTCCGCCCAAAAAGCCCTTCTCCCCCTCCCCTCCCTCCGTGCGTGTTCTGCAGACCACCGTATCTGGCAAATACCCTGGCAACACTGCCACCGTGGGCACCAACGTGGCCGTCTGCTCCAGCCAGATCTATGTGATCGACAAGGTGCTGGTCCCTGCCGCCTCCCTGGACGCCATCCCCGCCGTCTCTGGCGGGCTGGACCCCGCCTCTGTGCCTGCGGCTTCCGTGCCCGCTCCCCTCCCCTCGCCGGCCGTCGAGGCCGCCACTCCAGCAGCCGCCCCCGTGGCTGAGGAGCCCGAGGTGCCAGCGGTGACAGAGGTGCAGGGCGTGGCGCTGGCGACGGGCTACCTCCAGGGCTGTACCGTGCGGCTGAGCTCCGTGGGCGGCGGCCCCCAGACCGCGACCACCGACGCCGACGGCCAGTTCAGCTTCCAATGCGAGGGCGACTGCACCGGGGTGAGGCAGCTGGGCGTGGTGGTGGTGCTGCTGCTGCTGCGCGTGCCGACGCCATGCCCTGATCGCGACGCCCTGCCTGCACTTGTTGCCGGGTGTAGCGCCTGTCCTGACCACTGCGCACCCAACCTGCTGCCCACCCTCACTGCAGAAGGTTGTGGCTCTGCCGGCGGCAGGCCAGCCAACCACCTGCCTCGACAGCCTGACACAGCTGCCCCCGCCGTTCGACATTCAGGCGCCTGTGTCTGCCCTGCCCGAGGGTGAGTTCTACTGCGGCTACACGGCTGTGGTTGGTGTTGATGCTGGCGGGGTGTGCTGCTGCCACAGCAACTGTCCTCATCAGGCACGCCTCACCGCCTCGAAGCCTGTCCTTGTCAATCTCAGCCGCTCCGCCTCTGCGCAGGCATCAGCCTGTCGGCCCTGTCCCCCCTGACCACCGTTATCGCCGCCGCCAACGCCCAGACCGCCGCGCCGGCCCCGGAAGCCGCGCCCCCCACCAACCGCAAGCTGCTGGCGGGCCGGTCTGCCCTCGCGGCGGCACAGGCCGCGGCGCTGCAGCAGCGGGCACAGCGGCGCCGCGTGCTGGCCGCAGGCTTTGACTTTGGCATCGCCTCGGAGGAGGCCTCAGGCAGCAGCAATGTGTCCACCTCTTACGGCGACCCGCTGGCGGCCTCCCTGGCGGGCGACCAAGCCGCATACGACCTGCTGGCAAAGAACCAGGAGCTGGTGTGCACCGGCGGCATCGGCGGCAGCCTGCTGGCCGCGCTGGCAGGCGGCGGCAGCACCACCGCGGCCGCCGGCGCGGGCGCCGTGTTTGATCAGCTGGCGGGCGACCTGCTGGCAGGTGGGGCGGGGCGTGCATGTTGCCGGCAGCAGCAATGCGATGCCTGTTGCCGGCACTGTCCGGCCTGCCTGCTGCTCACTGTTTTTGGCCTGGACACACTTCCCCTGACCCTGCACTAACCCTTTCTCTGCTCCCGCGTCCTGCAGGCAGCGCCTTTGACCTCACCGACAACTCCACAGTGCAGCAGCTGTTTGCAGAGGCGCTGGCTGACCTGGCGCCAGACGCGGGGCCGCCAGCGGGCGTGGACGTGGATGCCGTGACGGCGGCGGCAGCGGAAACCACCACGCTGCTCAACAGCCTGCTGCAGCAGGCGGTGACAGCCGCGCAGCAGAGCCAGCTGGCTGAGGCAGGCAAGATGGTGCAGGTGCTGGCGCGGCTGGCCAAGGTCTGCCAGGTATGAAGCTTCACTTCTTGGCGTTTCTTTCTGTGGGGTCTGGCCCGCCTGGCCTTGCTGCTTGCGCCCGGCTGACGGGCAAGCAGGTGGCTGCAGTGCTGCTGAGGCGCGGCCTGACAGCAGCAACCCTGGGCCTTCTGAGCGCTGCACGTGGCCGGCAACCAACCCTGCATGGCCCGCTGATCTGCAAACTGAGTGCAGGCGGATGTGGCGCCCGCGGCCGCGCAGCTGGGCGCGGGCCAGCTGTCGGTGGACGGCTGGCGGCAGCAGTTCAGCCTGCAGGCCATCACAGACCTGACAATAAATGAGACCCTCGGCTGATGCTGCCCCAGCAGCACTAAGCCTTGTTGCATTGAAGCTGGTTGCGACCAGCTATTTTGACGTGTTGCCGCACTGCCATGTGCATGCCTCAATATCCGTTGCATATATAGGACTCTGATCTACTAAATGATTGAGTTGGCCACTGCATTGTCTGCTCGATGTTGCAGCAGGTTTGGTGTACAGCTGCCATAAAGTTGGGCGCAGGGGCGGTGACTGTGTTGCGGTCCAGCCAGTCAGTGCAGTCAGGCGGTCGATGAGAGCAAAGAGGGTAGCAGCATGTGAGAAAAAGCAGGGAAAAGGTACTAGGAAATGTGTGTGCCAAACCAGAGGTGAAGGGAGCAGCTGCAGAGGGTGACAAAGCAATGTCCTGGTGGTGCTGCTGTTCTTGCTGCTCTGGTGTGCCTCGAGCATGGCGGAGAATCACATCTGCTTGGCGGCAGCATACCGTCGCGTCTGCTCCTGCAGCAGCCTGCAGTGCAGGGTGGGGATGGGAACAAGCACACTGGTTGCGGCATGTACGGGTTGCTGCCAACCTGTCAACTGCTTTGTTGATTGGCCAACCACCATCCCCTTGCCCAACCGCACTTGTCCACTCACCGGTCGTACAGCTTTCGGTCCCGCTTGTATGCATGGTAGCACTCGTTGGCAGGATCGTCTGCATGAAGGGGGGTGCCATGAACTGGAACTACCACTCGAGCAACAAGAACACAGTCACAGCTGCGTGGGACTGAAAAAATGCAAGGCCGCATGCCCAGCAGTACGCACCCACGTTTGGCTGATCCAGCAGCTCCTGCAACAACAACAACAAAAAAGAGGAAAAACAAATTGTGAATCGTGAGATTTGTTTGTGAGTAATGAGGGGGAAAAAGGATTTTTTTTTCCTTTTGTTTTTCCAGCATCGCAACGGAGACCCACCTGCACGCCCACCAGGATCTGCTTCACGGTGATGCTTGGCCGCCAGCCCTTCTCAGGGTTCAAAATGGACAAGCAAACTGACAAGGGAAAGGGGAGCAACTGCAGTCAGCAACGTGCCAGCCAGCAGCTGTGGTTCCTGCAGACACAGCACAGGAGGAGCACTGACCATCCCCCTGCGGGAAGACGTTGGGATGGTAGAACCCTGGAGGGAACTTGACGCGGGGTGGCTTGCTGGGGTACTCTGCATCAGCAAAGACAGGCCCATCGGCAGTGTTAGACATTACGCCATTCCCTAGATGGTGACTGGGCCAGCGTGGCCCAGCATGGGCCAGCATGGGCCAATCATGGCTGGAGGCGCACCTGATGTGAACGCGAGAGTTAGTGGGAAGAGGCCGCCCTCCCACAGCGTGCCTTCTTTGCCGGGCAGCAGGCACTTCCACGTGAAAATGTCGGTGCTGCCGTCTGCGGCCGCCTCGGGTCGGGCGACATAGCCAAAGGGATGATCCTGCAATATGGGACCAAGGCGAGAAGGGGTGCGGGCAGGTTGCAACGCAGCGGCGGCAGGCGGCTGGCGGCCGGGTAGGCGTCTTGTCTGCAAGGGCGGCGCTGTGGAGAACACGCCGCTGCTGCATGCTACCACCTTGCGCCACGCTTTTCGTTCCTCTTGCAAGCGAGCCGCGGCTATTCCGCCAGACATCGGCGTGCAGTGTCCGTCTGTGCTGCCTGCTGATAAGAACAAAGTTACATTGGGCAGGATGGTTTTGTTCACGCACTGCTGACCAGGCGCTGCTGGCGCGCACATGTACTGCTGGCCCACGATTTGAACAAGCACTGCAACGCATCCCAGTTTTCAAACAATTTGCAAACGCAGTCTGGCCTGCGCAATGCGGCGCAGCATCAGGATGAACCCTGGCCTGCTGGCCACCCCCAAGCAGGATGCCGATCTTTTGATCGCTCTGCTTGAAGGAGACCTGCAGCAGCTGGCCAACGCGCTTAGGAGGCGAGGCAAGGTCCCGCTTTGCCACCGAATATGGCAGCTTCCGCTCTACCACGCAGTGGTGCTCAGCCCAGCAGGTAGCGTCCCGTTGCTAGAGGCGGTGGCGGCGGCGGGGGCCCCCATCGAAGTGGCAGAGATGAGCTGCTTCATTGTGTCCAAGGAGCTGCAAGTGGTGCTAGACAAGAAGATCAGCCCCGAGCAGCGCAGCATGGTGCAGGAGATTTTCGGCAGTCGCCGAACAGCAGCAGAGCTGGCCGCCGCGCATGGCCGCCGCGACCTGCTGACAGCATTGCTGGACGCAGGTGCCTGCCCAGACCTCGGTAGCAATTGCTACGCCCTGGCATGTGCAGCAGCTCAGCAATGCTTCCAAGGCGGCCCAGCGCAGATAGAGGCAGCAGCAGCCGCGGCGGCAAACACGCTGGATGTTTTGCTTCAACGTGGCGCATGCGCGGACAGCTGCGCGGAGGCTGCGATCGATGTGTACTGGCGCCAACGAGACCAACGCAACCAGGCCGCCGCTGCGCTCTTATTGTGCTGGATATTGGATCGGACCATGCGACAGCAGCGACTCCGCGACTCATGCGACGGCATCCGCTGCAAGCTGTTCACCGCTGCAGCAGCGGTGGGGAATGCCCGCATGGTGTCACACTTCACGGCTCACTTTACGACGCTTGATCCAATTAGTTACTTAGGACGCGAGGTGATGATGCAAGCTGCAGAGTCTGGCAACCTTACAGCACTGCAGTGTTTGCTGCAGCTGGCAGCCAGCACCCCAGGGAACAACCGCGTCCAGCTGTTCAAGCAAGGACTATTGGATGCCCGGGATCATGCAGCAGATAAAGCTCTGCGGGAGCAGCAGCCTGAAGCACTGCGGCTGCTGCTGGCAAACGGTGTGAAGGTTACTGTGCAGCGCATCAATTTGGCCGTGGCACAGTGGAACATGTCGCAGCTGCAAGTTCTTCTGTCTTCTGGCCAGCCGCGGCCGGCCGCAGAAGTGCATGGCTGCCGCCTCAGGCTTGTCGGCTCATGGCAGCACGATGCCTACCGGGCATGTCCAGTCTGGAATGTATTTAAAATGGTGAGCATGATGGTATGTTGCTCGTTCTCTGGCTTTTGTAAGCATCTGCCATTCCTATTCTGCACCATTCATCCTTGCCATACTGCTGCAGGCAGGCAAAAAAATGCCATGGGGGCGCGCTTTGGATGCTGTGCAGCTGCTTGCTGCTGCCGGCTATCGGCCCTCGGTGTTCACAGAGGTGCGCCGCGGGGATCGCCCTGCAGCCATGTGGCCACCATGTCGCTGCATACATGTACATGTAGCCGTCCCTGTGCTGTGGCCTCTTGCACCTGCCCCTTTTGCGATTCAGTAGGAGATGTGCTCTGGCTGTTTGCAGGCTGTGGTGCAGCTTAGAGGGCACAGGACGAAGGTGGCACGCTTCCATCCGGCCAGTGACGACCCAGAAATTGACATAAATGGCAAGCACAGGCACGTAATGTTGACCACCATGTGCAAACAAGAGCAGCTGGCAGTACTGCTGCCATGTGCATCCGCATCGGCATGTCGGTCACTGACTCGTCGTCCACTCTGCTTTAACAGGCGGCTGTGGCTGGCGGCCAACCCGGTGCCCTGGGCGCCAGAGGAGCACTATCGCTTCCCGCCTGCCTTCCAGGCCGCCACAAGCACGCTGCTGCTGGTGGCACATCGCGGCAGCAAGCTGGCAGCTGCGCCGCCGCTGAGTGGTGCAGCGTTGCGGCGGCAGCGCCGCATTCCAGCCTATCAGCGGCGCTCTGCAGCGGCGGTGGGGCTGGGCTCGCTGCCCGTGCCTATACTGCACCATGTTATGGGGCTGGCGGCATACCCGCTGTTTGAGTGGGCCAAGATGCAGCAGTAGCAATAAGCTTGCAAGTTTTTTTGTCCTACTGCTGATTGTCTGTTTGTTGATTACACTTCTTGTTCCTCGGCTTTTTATAATGACGACATGTGCCGCATCGAGTGCAGCCACCATGTTCCCGCCACCCCTGCTACCGCTGCTTCATGAGTGTTTCCAGCAGCGGGCCCAGGCACTGCGCCAGCAACTCGTAGCCAGCAGCGTTTGGGTGCAGTGCATCTGGCATCAGTTGCACGTCCACAGCACTGCCATCAGCGGTCAGGAAGCGCTGGCCGCAGTTTCAGTAGTGAAGCTGGGGGTCCAGCCTTGCATAATCCCTGAACAATGCAACCAGCCCAGCGCATTTGAATGATGAAAACTAACAAACGCTTGAAGCATGGCCCCGGATGGGTGTATGCTTACTCCAGCAGCACGTTGACTTTGGTGATACTGGGAGTGAATATGGAGGGATAGGAAAAATCCCTGCCTTGCGAGCCCGGCCCGCTTTCCGCCGGCTCGCAACCAAAGAACTTCTCACAGCCGCGGGGCAGCAGCGCCAGCAGGATGATGTGCGCATTCGGCCAGCGAGACCGCATGAAGTACAACACCTCCAGCACCCTGCATCCAGGCAGCCGAGCAGGGGGGAGGGCAACAGGCACAACAGAGAGAAGGCAAAGCATCATCAGCACAGGGGGGAGAGAAAGAGCCATGTGGGGAGAAGAGTACACCTTGGCAAAACAACAGCGCAGCATCCCAGCGGGGTGCCTTGGCAAGGCTGTCAACAGGACTTGCCCGTGCGCCGCGCTAAGCATCCGCTTAGAGATCGCTGACGCCACCCTGGCACGGCCTCCGGGGGCGCCCGCGTTGGCGGCGAGCCCCAAGTCGTTTGTGCCGATCAGCAGCACCACCGTTTGCGGCTGCAGCAGGGGTGGCAGCAAAGTGTGGCATGCCAACTGCTCTCGTCATGTGATCACCATGATATAACGAAGTGGTGGGCAGGTTTTGTATTTCAAGGCCGGTCGCAGGCGCCGCCCAGACACTCACCGGGTGCTTAACTGGCGCCTCGCCGTGCTGCAGGCGCCACAACAAGTGCCGCGTCTGGTCGGCAGACACCGCCATCACCCCGGGGCGGTAGCGGCCAAAGTGCTTCTGGAACACCGCTGGCACACCTGCGAGACAGGTGGAGAATGGGGAGGCAGTGAAAGTGCGCACATATGCCCCCAGCAACTGACACCATTTCCTGCATTCAACCGTCACGCATCTTTGGCCTTGTCCCACGGCTGACACCGGTTAGTGCCCATCCAATACTCAGTGATGCTGTCGCCGTAAAACAGGAGCCTGAAGCCCTGCATGCGACAAAGGCATTGCCGTAAGCGCTTTGGCATCCACCCTAAGAGATGCAAAGGCTGTGCACATGCCTGCTTTCTGTCTTGTGCCGCCATCAGGCGCACGTGCTCCTGGTGGCATCCAGCGAGAGTCTGTATGGAGGGAGGATGCATGGCCCCTAAGCTTAAGAGCAAAGGGGCGAAAGCATGCCTGCGACATGTCCCCTGCAGGCCACCCAGCAAGCATCTCTCACCCAACATTTGCGAGTCGCAGCATGGGGGAGGCATCAGGCTGTCGGTCGTGTTGGCAAAGCAGCACTCCCAGCTGCCGCGGCCATGCTGAGGGGCCTCGGCTCCATTCAAGGCGCTGCCTGGGTGCTGAAGGCCAGGGCGTACGACGGCTGCACTGTCGCCCGCTGAAGACAGCCACCGCCAGCCTGCATCAAGGAATGCGCGGCAGCTCGACACGAATGCTGGAAGCGACAAGGGCTTGGTACCGGCGGCGGGAGCGGCGGCAGTGCAGAAGGTGCCGCTGAGCATTGAACTGCATCCCGGATTGATGGACCAGCACAACTCACCTCCTAGTGTCAAGAGCATCGCTAGCAGGCCCGCGGTCACTCGCGGTGGTGGCAGCGCCGCACATGTGGGCTCTGGGTGGTGCCTCATGTTCGAAGGTGGAATGAAATTAGCAGAAAACAGATGAAACTAGCAGAAAGCAGAAGCTGGGCTGGAGAGAGTTCTGGCCGCTCGGCCACTCTGCAAAGCGGATGCTGGCTGCAAACAAACAGCAGCATTGGATGTGCGGGCGTGATCCAAATAGGTAGCCCAGCCAGTAGCACCGAGCCATCATCATGCTAGGTCGCACTCACATGAGCGTGCCAGCGCATAAAGTTACACAACTTGAACAGGGAGACATGGACCAGGCATGCAGGGCCCGGCATTGCTGCCACGGTCCATGCCGCCCAGGAGGGTTGCTCCTCTCTGCATTTGCGAGCGAGGGGCCTGCCCACTGCCACGCCAATCAGCACCACATCAGCGCCGGTACCGCTCCCGCCGGAAGTTGAAGTAGAGGTGCAGGATGCCGCGCTCAAACACGCACTTGAAGCCGCGCTTGTGGTTGTACTCCCTGCGAGACCAACAGGCGGAAGCACGTGGCAGAGGGGAGTCGCGGTGGTGCAGGCAGTGCAAACATTCACGCCTGGCGGGGCGGCAGCATCACGATGCTGCTGGTCCCCGGGCCTTATTCGTGCTGCAGTTGCACTGGCCGCATGTCGTCTGGCGTCCCCATCAGACCACCCGACCACAGCAGCGCCCACTGCCCCCACCACGCACCACTCGTGGTTGATGATGCGGAAGGCAATGTCCTCGTAGGGCGGCCCCGCAGTGAAGCGCAGGATGCAGGTGGAGCCTGCGGAAGACGTGGCAGGTGGGTGTGTGCAGATGGGTTGAGGGTGTGTCCAGCGAGTGTCGGTGGGAGAAGGTTGTACCCTAACTACAAGGAGGGAAGGGCTGTGAGGATCCCGTGGGCGCTGCACATGCATCAAAATCGCACCGTCTGGGCTGGTGGGGTCCCTGTCGATCTTGTAGGTGGGTGCCACCGTCTTGTCCAGCAGCTCGGGGTAGAAGATGTTGAACTTGTAGCCCTGAGACAGGTGGAAGGAAGGAAAGGAAAGACAGTGAGGGATGGCAGAGGGGCATGGTGGGGAGTTAGATGGCCCGGGGAGTACAGCAGGAGCAGCGAGATAGCTAGAAATTCAGGGATTCGTGGTCTGCGCGGGATGGCCAAGCAAGCGGGGAGGTGGGCACCAGCCTCACCTGCACCGTCTTGGGCGGTGGGTTGTCTCCATCGTAGTGCGTCTGGTTGTACTTGTTCCACTCATACCTGCTCGATTGTTGAGTGAGAGGGAGAGCAGGGGGGCACGAGGGTCGGAGCACAGCATTGGCCGGACAAGGGCAGCAGCCAAAGCCAACGCCTGCCATCAGGGCGAATCCAAGCGGGGCAGTACAGGGCAGAGAAGAACAGTTTGCTGCAGCTCAGCTGCGCCCAGCGTCCCATCTCACCCGGTGTGCACTCTGTTGAAGTACTTGGGTCGGCGGGGGCGGTACTTTTCGTGCCACCAGTAGACCTGGGAGTCGGCATCCACCTGCACCTCCCCGCCAAACGGCGCGTCCCCAGACGTGCCCAGGTCTCCCATCAACTTGTCTGCGGTGCGCCGGAAGGCAACCTCTCCGGCGTCTGCCTCCTGCAGCACAGGCAGCGGGGCAGCAGGGTGGCAGCGGCGTGTGATGAGGTTTGGGGGGAAGGGCTGGGTGAATGGCGGCAAGGGGTGAATTTGGAAGGAGAGGAGCAGCAGACACCAGCGGCAGGTGGCAACGTGTGGAGTGAACAGCAGGGTGGTAGAGGCAGGCCTGGGACCAGGCGGCAACAGAAAGCGCACCCCGCTGGGCTGCTCGCTGCCCTGCGCAGGCGCCGACAGGAAACGTGTCATCGGCGCGCCACCACCCAGCATACGTGCTGCGTCTGCAGGACAGTGGTTGGGTGTCAGGTGGGTACCCGTGCTGCATACAGCCCAGGGATGGCAGCAGGAAACGCAACACGAACCAGCATGTCCAGAAGCCAAATACTGTCTGGGGCTATGGCTATAAACAGCACAGTGGCAGAGAAGCATCCCGCTGCTTCCACCCACCTCCCGGCCGCTGCATGATGCGGCGGTAGATGCGGTCTGCCTCGGCCTGCGCAGGCCGCGCCGCCGCCGCTGCTGCAGAGGCCGCCTTGTACCGCTGCACCTCCTTGTACTTGACCTGCACGGTAAAGAAACGTGGCAGGGCAGTACAGGCGGGGCTTCATTGAGTCTGCTGGCACAAGCTGGATGCTGGCCAAGGCGCCCGCCACCCCACCAGCACCTGCCCCCGCTCGTTCAATGAAGCCCGCCCGCCCTGCCACCTGCACGCCTGCTTGTGCCCCCAGCCCACCTGAGCGCGCGTCAGCTCCAGCAGGCGCAGGTCCTCCTCCTCGGGTATCACATCCTGCCCCGCATACGCCGTGGGCGGCAGCGGCGCGGGCGAGTAGCTGCCCAGCTCGTCCGCGTGGCCTGCACCACAGGCAAGGGGTCAGGGTCGTGCTGGCATGAGGGCTCGCTCAGGCTCGACAACCTGCCAGCCCAGACCAGCCGACCCCTGCCGACAAGAGAGAGCCATCCTCCACCTGCCAGAACAGGCAGCCACACGCCTGGACCCTCCCAACCAAACCGACACACACCACCACCGCCACCACCGCTCACCCTCCTGCTCCCCATCTGACATGTCATCCCAATTCCGCGGCTCGCCGCGCGCCGTCTCCTTCTGCCGCGCCGCTGCCGCCCGCTCCACCGCGCTGGCCGCCGCCGCCGCCTCCTTCTCTGCATCCTTGGCCGCCTTGGCCGCGTCTGTGGGCCCGGGCGCCCGCGCCAGTGCCTCCAGCTCAGCATCTACAGGTGCCCCTCCTTCCCCTGCTGCCGCCGCTGCGGCTGCTCCGCCTGCCGCACCGCCCTCCCCTCCCTCCTCTTCGTCCTCTGCCAGCTCTATTTCGTTGTCGTCGGCTGCTGCTGCCGCCGCCGCTGCCTGCTCCTCTGCGCTGAGAGGCGGCCGCCCCTCCTCCTCCTCCTCTATCTGCTCCTCATCCTCCTCGCCAGCCTGATCCTCAGCGCCCCACCCCATGGCGCCAGGCACATCCACATCAGCCATCATCTTGGCCAGGTGCTGCTGCATCATGTCTGCGACACAACAGGAACGCGCGTGGCGCCGGTAGGAAGGCGGTCAGAATCAGTTGCAGGCATTGGTCGTGGCAAGCCATGTCGAAACCCACGTTCGAGGGAACGCATGCTATGCGCTTGCAGCGGCCATGTGCTTCGAGCACCACAGCAGCACGGCCACTCAGCCGCAGCTGTGTTCAGGGCTCCATCTCAATGTCACCCTGCGCCATCCCACGCCACCACCATGCGGCGCCCCGCCGTGGCCCACCCACCCGCATGAATCTCCCGCAGCCGCGCCTTGGCCTTGTGCAGCGCCAGGCGCTTCAGCACCGCCTGCCAGTACTCGGGGTCAGCGGCGGTACCGCTGTCCAGCTGCGCCTGGATGCCGCCCTCCAGCTCCAGCAGCTCGCGGTGCGTCTTGCCTGCAGTGCGGCACGGAGCGAGCACAGCGAGCGATTTGTTCACAGCGTACAGACCGCAGGGGAGGCAAAGCATACCAACTAGATGCATACGGCTCGACTCTGTCGGCTGATCGCTCCCGATCACGCCATTGGCAAGGCGTACAACTGTTTGTTCCTCAACTTGTTGCAGTGTGCACCCATCCCCACACGTCCATCCCATGGCACACCGCCACCGCCGCCTCACCTGCCAGCATGACCTGCACCTCTGTGTCAATCGACTCGTGCCACCCCGCCTCCCGCACCGCATACTTGGCAGGCACCGGCTCGCCGCGCAGCCTGCAGCAGGGCGGGACCAGGCGGCGAGTGCCAGGGGTGGACAGGGCCGCTTTCACGCCTTCAGGTGTGTCACCCCCCATCGCCAGCACAGCACGCTGCACTCCAGATGTTAAGCCCTCCCTCCTGCTGCGCAGCCCTACCATACGCTATATGCTTGCCCCCTGTACTCCCTCCCTCTCCCTGCCCCCCGCCCAGCTCACTTGGCCCTGTCCAGGTCCTCCTGCTTTTGCTGCTCATACAGCTCGTGCTCCGCCACCAGCAGCGCCGCGCTCCAAAACTCGCGGTGCAGCGGGTGGTGCTTGTCCATCTCCTGTCGGGGGAGGGAGGGGTGGCGGGGCGGGGGGTGTGGGTGAGGCAGGGGGCAAGATTGCAGGATCCAAGGTACGGCTTGGAGACCTGGCAAAGCTGAGTGGCAGCTCCCTGCGCGACCCTGTTTCCCAAGCCACATGCACTGGCACCGGAGCTGCACCTGGAAATTTGCAACGTCGTCCCGCAGGTCTTTCAGCTGCCGCAGGGACAGCCCCGAGATGAGCGAGGTGGGCTCCTGGGGCAGGCATCAGGCGCACAAGGGGGCGGTGCAAGGTCGACATGGGCCTGGCTGGTGGCGGTGGCAGCGCTGATGAGCAGCCAGCCATCCACGCTGTCACCCCAGCCACCCTGCAGCGCCTTCAGCCTCGAGCCGACCGGCAGCTGCCCACCCCCGCACAGCCAACCAGTAGCATCCCCAACCTCACCACCCCTACTGCAAACACCCACGCCCCACACAGCACACCTCCTGCGGGTCTGCCCCCTCCATGAGGAAGATGGTGTGGGCCAGGCGGTCTATGGGCTTGGGCCGCCCCTCGCCCAGCCGCTGCTGGCTCTTGGCCTTGGCCTGCTCCAGGTGGAACTGCAGGGGGAAAGACGAACAGAGGGGAGAAGGGCATCCTAGGGTTGGTTGATTGGTTGGGCGTTGGGTGGCGGGCAGCAGCCGCATCCAAGCTGGATGGACAAGTGGACCCTGGAGGGAGAAGCTGCCGCATCTGCGCCCAGCCGTGCTGCGCCCATCGACCACGGCGCTGCACACCACCCGCCATGCGGATCCATACACCCCACCAGGCCCGGCCCATCCTCTGCCCCGCCGCACCTCCTCCTCTTTCTTCTCCAGGTCTGCCGCCTCTGCGATGGCCCGCTCCCGCTGAATCATCTCCAGCTCCTCCGCCATAGCCGCCTTCTCCGCCTCCCGCTGCTCCCGCCGCTTCTTCACCTTCTCAATCTCCTCCTGCAGCCCAGACCCAGCCGGGTAGTGGTGAGGGGCAGGTTGCAGCTCGTGTATGCAGCCACAGCCGCCTTCCCCTTGCCCACCACCACACCATCGCCAGCACACAGACAAGCACACATTATGCCCCCATCCCTCGCTCACCAGCCGCTCTGCCTGCCGCTTCATCTCGGCCTTGGCGGTCATGTCGCGCACGTCGCGCCCCCCCGCAATCTCCTTTTCAATCTTCTTGCCCCACACAAAGCGCTCGGTGAGGTTGGTGTCGCCGAAAGGGTTGTCTTCGTTCGAGTAACCGGTGCCCGTCACCTTGTGCTTCTTCAGGTGCTGCGCCACCTTCTTGGCCTGCAGATGAGCGAGGGCGAGCACAGTTACATGGAAGCAATGCAGTGGCGGCGACGGGGTCAGCAGCAAGCCGCGGTGGCGGTTACAGTTGGCCGCGACTTTCCGCTGCATTAACTGCACCAACAGACCCACTGGGTGGGGCCCTGGCCCCGCCCTTTAGACCGACCGCCCACGCACCAGCTTCTCCGCCTTTCGCCGCTTGTACTCCTCATCAGAGTCGCTGCCAGAACTGCTGGGGCTGGAGGAGCGGTGCCGCCGCTTCTTCTCCTTCCTATCCTTCTTGCTCTTCTTCTCCTTCTTGTGCTTGGCCATGCTGCTGACGCAAGCTGCACTCAGCAGGGGGCTCCTGGTCCAGATGATGAGCGGCGTGCAGTGGCAGCGGCGGCGGCGGCGTGCCTCAGACGGACGCGGCTATCTGCCCCGGAGCTCCATCCATGGCTCCTTCTTGCTGCTGCTGTGTGCTGCAACGGGGCAGCCCGCTTGTACGTGTGTCGTGCCCTCCTTCTCACCTGCGCGTCAAGCGCCGCCCGCGAGGTGCTGTCCCCCCGAATGTGTCCGAGTCGTCCAACAATCAGCGCTTCTGGCTTGCCCAATCGGCCTTGCAATCAGACACCGGGTGCACGCTACCGAGCCCCGCTGGGCTTGTTTGTGATTGGAGGGGATCCGTGGCGAAGCAGAATGTGCCCGGCGGCCCGGGAGCTGCTGGAAATGCGTGTGGACACCTGGCGGCGGTAGCAGGCGCAGCGCAAGTCTGCTCGCCCAAAACCTGGCGCCCAACCAAGGGCCCCAGGCCGTCAAATTTGCTTCCATACGTTGGTTACATGGCATCTAAGACGTACATCAGACCAGCGCATTCGCCGGAGCGGGGAGGTGGCATGCCGCGCAGGCGAACAGGCGGCGGTCAACCCTCACTCATCCGCAAATCCTTGTCGCCGCGGTTGGCAAATAAATCTAGCTGTACGCCCATGGCATCCAGGCTGAAGCCGCCCTCCACCACCATCATGCCCACCAGCTTGACCTTCCTGCCCTTGTCAGGGCTGGAGGTCTCGTCAAGAACCGTCACCTTGACCCGGCACTGCTTGTGCTGCGAGGCCTGCAGCATGGGGCCAAGGACCAGACAGAAGCGTTGCCTGGCTGCAAGCCGACCTGGTTGCGGGATCGACAGCAGGCAGGGCGAACCCAAACCTGGAAGCGGTGCAGCTCTGTGAGGGACGCCTGTTCTGTCCAGTGGCCATCCAGCATCGACTCCTGGCACCTGGATCAAGCACATGTGATCCATTGTGGGCGGGCCGTGGCGCAGTGCAGCGACCACCAGCGCTCCAGGCGCAATATGCAGGCAGGCCCATAAGCAAGCACAGCATGCAGCAGCGAGCGCCTGCCAACATAGGCCCAGGGCGCCTGATCGTTCACTCACGTGCAGTTGGCCACGCACTGCACCTTGGCCTTGCCCATGTGCTCGTATGACTTGAGGAAGCTAATGATCACCTCGTTCGTGTCCACTTTCAGATCATCCTGCGTAAAATGAAGACCCCAAACGCCGGCAACACGAGTGCCTGCGTTTGTTTCTGTTATTCTCAGTTATTCTCAGCCACCAGGCACTCCCCAGACAACTCCCAGCTGCTCTACAGGTCCCGTCCACAGCTGCTGCTGCCCCGCAGCACCATCCGCCATCTCTTCGTTTCGCTTGCACCCCAGCATCCACGCCCTCCACAAATCGCACCCACCTCCAGGACTGAGGTCGTGTCCATTGCCAGCTCTGCCCATGACCCCGGCTGCTCGCTAATCCAACCCCACTTTTGATTGGAAACGTCTGCAGCGGGCCGCTCGTTCTTCCACACGAAACCTTGCTGCGCCACCACCACCTGCAATCAGGCGGGGTAGGGTGGGGCAGAGACCCAGGTGAGCAGATGAGGCAAGCAGCGGGAGTAGAGACGAGGCAGAGACCCAGGTAAACAGAGGAGGCAAGCAGAGGCAGCGGAGGTATGGCAGAGAACCACCTTTTCAAAGTTACGCTGCAGCAAGCAGGTGGAGGAGTTGCGCTGCAGGTTGCCTGGGACCATGGGCGCAGGCACTGCCTCCTGCGCACACAGCGTGGCGAGGGAAAGAGGGACGCGGGCCATGCGCAGATGTGTCAGTGCCCAGGCAGCCAGCTGCCATGGCACAGCAGACAATCGGCACAAACTCGCAAGGCACAGTGAAGGCCACCGGCCCAGCATGCCTTATACTGTACTTCTAAGCCACCCCAGAATCCCCACCAGATTTCAGCTTGCCTGCGCTATTTCCTCATCCGCCTTCCCCAGCGGCCGGTTTGCCAAGTCCACAGCGGTGGCGCGGACAAAGCCTACAAACAGGTCCGCCAGAGCGCGGTGGCCTGTGCGGTCCTGGGGGTGCATGTCATCTGCAGAGCAGGCAAGTTCAGCGCAGCGCACGTGGGGCAGCCCACTTCCCCAGCGGTGACCACCCGCCATCCCCAACGTGCCACCATGCACACCGGCCATGTCAGTAGTGCAACCAGCCCAGCGCACCGAAAAAGAACAGGCTGTCCTCATCCTCCTCCTTCTCGTGGCTGTTGTATGCGACGTGGGCTGCAGGCAACCCCTCGTGTATACGTCAAAAGTCAGCCAGCAGTCGAAATGGCAGGGACCTGACCATGCTGTGATACTGGGCAAGGTGGCACATATGTGGGGCAAACATGCAGCATCACCCCAACCATGTCCTTCGTACGCCTCAACCTACCCTGGAACCCTTTGACTTTGTTCAGCATGAGGTGATAGGCGGCCGCACGAATGGACAGAACGGGAAGCCCATAGTACTGGGCTGCAGCAGCATGCGACAGGAGGGGCGGCTCAACCTTCGAACAGTCCTGTGAGCAGCCCTGACAGCAGGATTTGGGGGCCCAACCCCGGCATGGTCACTGCTGTGCTGCTTACCCAGCACATTGAAGTCGTTTTCTGCAGTATAAGTATAGTCGGCTCGCTTCTCTCCCCCGCCGCCAGCAGTGAACCACGAATAGTGTTGGAGGAGCACCACCGCCGGCCTGCAACAAAAGGACGGCGAACAAGTCAGCAGCGGCTCGGGGCGAGCTGGGCCGGGCCCACCGCATGGAACACACACATTGGGGAGGAGGTGGGCAGGGCAGGCAGTGCTCGCAATGCAGACACTGAAGCTCATAGCTGCGGAGTCGGCACGCACTCCCCGCCTGGCCAGCTGCCTCCACCTGTTTTCAAACTCCAGCAGCTTGCGCAGCAGGCGCTCAAAGCTGAGGCGGTCGGGGTCGCGGAAGCGGCCCGTGGCCTTGGGGTCATTCACGGCAAACTCCACCAGCACCAGGTCCACGTCCGGCTGAACCATGTCGTTGACACACACGGTGAAGATGGCTGCAGTGTGGGTACAGCACGGGGGCGGAAACACAGGAGGGCACGTTAGTCGGGCACGCGCACGAAGTGCACATGGTGGCTGGGCAAGGCAGGGCCAGGTGGCCAGAGCAGCGCCTCCTGCATGCCCCCGGTGGCGTGCTGGCAGCTGGAATGACTGCGCTGCATGCTGCTGACTGGCTGACTGGCCTGAGGTGCTGCCCCCAAAGGCGCCGTGCTTGAGCGTGTGGTTCGCCTGTGCTTGGGGCGACACCTCCAGGATCCAGTTCCAGATACGGTTCATGACGGGCTGCCCGTGTGCAGCGCCCTGCCCTGCCGTCACCGACCCACCCACCGCCGACAGCGAGACGGGCTTGCCCGCCAGCAGCTTGTCGGTGAAGCGGCGCATGCGGGAGCCCTCCCCCATGCTGTAGATGCCCTGCCGCAGCGAGCGCTCCGGCAGGAAAGGGTCGTACTGCCACAGCCGCTCCTGGATGGCAGCGTCGTACTGCAGGCGGCGGCAGCAAGGGACCCGGATGAAGGCTGGCAACGGTGGCCGTGGCGGGCGCCAGCAGGGGTAATCAGCGGCAAAGCGGCGGAGCGCACCTTTTTGTTTGTGGGAGGGACCTGTCTGCACTCCTGCTTGGGGCAGTCTACCTTGGGGCATACAGCCGACTCGTGGTTCTCCCCTGCTGCATCGTTCTGCCTATCTCCCTCCTCTGCCGCACCCTCCTGTTTCTTCTGTTCTGCCTCGCCCTCCTGTACCGTGGCCTCATCCTCCTGCCCCTGGCGCTCCCCCCCGTTGCTCTGCTCCTCACAGGGTGTCGGCTTGGGGCAATCGGGCGGGTCGGGGCACTTGGCTGCCTCTTCTGCTGCTTGGCACGGCGGGCATTCCTGGCTGGCAGATGTCTCGTCCTCTGCCGGCTGCTGCTGCTCCTCAAGCTCCCGCTGCTTCGCCTCTAGCTGCTGTTGTCGCTCCTCGAGCTGTTTCTGGAGCTCGTCAAGCTGCTGGTGTTGTTGGTCGCGCCCCGGTTCTGCGGCCTCTGCTTCCGCGGGTTGAGCGGCGGCGCTGCCACAGTCGCCGGGGGGCCGGCACTCTGGGCAATCGCACTGCGAACCGTTTGATCGCACAATGGCTGCCTTCAGGTGCGCTACATCACGAGAGGAGCCGCTGGCGGTGCCAGGCCGCAAGTTGAGCACTAACATGGCGACGAGCAGCAGCGAGGTTATGACTGCAACCGCCCCAGCCGCATGACCCCGCCGTGAGGAGCCAGGGGTTGCGAGCTGAGCCATCTGCAGCGCTCATGTGATCAGGAAAATCCTGGGGCCTAGGCCCAGCCCAGAGCAGTACTGATTCGTATGACTAGCCAGCATATGATGCATTTTGGAAGCCTTTGCAACTGGTGCTGACATGGCGCGGGCGCAATAGCTGTACCTCAACTACCGTGATAGCTTTACAGCGGCATTTGGGATTTGAAGCAGCTGCATGGTGTGGGCTACAAGTGCCGCCTCATCATTCATTTTTGCTATGCTATCCCGTCCTCGAAAAAGCCTGCACAGTTGATGCAGCAGCAGCGCGAACGACTCACAAGGAAGCATGCTCGGTGCCATACCGAACCGTCGCATTGCAGCACGTGGCGCGGGAGACTCGCGGCAAGCGGTGTGGCACAAACCCACCGTCCCATGTGCTGGAGCCATTGTCGTCCAGCAGGCCCAGGCGCTTGAGCCGCCGCTCCGCGTAATACTCCATGTTCTCCAGCCTGCAGGCGACCGCACAGCGCAGGGGCAAAAAGCGCACCCTCAAGAGCTGCTATAGGTGCCAGCATCTGCCGGGGTTTGTGCAGCGCTGAGCCATCATGATGCTGCTCTTTGAGCGCCATAACTCCAGAAGACCTTGCCACGCTGACCCCCAGCCGCCCCACCTGCTGATCCGGCCCTCAAAGTAGCGCAGTGTGGCATCCAGCGCCTCCTTCTCCCCTAGCCGCACCCGCACCGCGCTCTGCCGCCGGCTGCCCGGCTGCAGGCTGCCGCTGCACAGGGAGAGCGACACATTGGGGGTGGTGTGGTGTGTGCGAGTGCCTCCATCAGGATGAATGAGCATCGCCCATGGGGTGCCAACGGCAAGTGCAGAGCGCTTGTTCCCCAACCACCTCCTGTTGAGTTGTTGCTGCTGCTGATGGCTGCCAGGCCCACGCACCAGCCACCTACCAGCGGCCTCCCTGGCCAACAGCATACTCGGCCAGCCAGCCAGCCACCCCAGCCAGCCCCTCTCACCTGGCCATCAGCGCCAGATCCTCGTCGATGGAGGTGGGGTAGGCGGCCAGCGCGGCGGTGCAGCCGTCGATCAGCTGCTGGTAGCAGCCGCGCTCGTTGTCCTCGCTCACCGGCAGCTGCATGTGCTCCCACACCTCGTTGCGGAAGATGGACTCCAGCAGGAAGGCATCGGTGCCTGCGGGCGCCGGGAACAAGAGAAACACTCGACGCCAGATATCTACCAGGCGCGAACTTTGCAGCGGGAGTGCCTGCCGTGAGATTCCTGTCGTGGCAGGGTATCAAGACACTCCCTATATGGTCCCTCGTGCAGGCCCACCCCTGCCCCGGTCGGACGGCGCGTACCCGACAGGTTGAGCAGGCGCAGCACAGGCAGCAGGCCCGCGTCGGGCGCGCGGTCAGCGCGCAGGATGTGCTCCGTGCTCTCGGCCAGCTCGTTCAGCTCCAAAATGTCTGCCTTGTCGTCATAGTTGCGGTCCTCCTTGCTCAGCTCCAGCGTCAGCGCATAACTTGGCTGCACGTGCAGAAGCAAGCAGGTTGGAAAACAGCAGTGGGTTGGATGAGCGGGGAGGTCGGGGAGGGTAGGGAACGAGGCTAGTGGAGTGGGGCATCACGCGGCAGGCCAACGAGGCGGGAAGGGCCTGCCGGCGTTACAGCCCCATGCTGAAGTGGGGCGCCGGCACACGCACCTGGTTCACAAGCGGGTCGATCACTCCGTGGTCTACAAGCAACTGACCATCTGCGGGCAGCAGAGTCAATGAGAAACCTCGGCAGACGCTTCAGGAGTTGGATAAAACCAGTAAGGGCGAGAGGCCGACAGCACCTTGCCCATCTCAACTTTCCCATCCAGAGCAGTCCATCATGTCTCATATCAGGTTTGAGTCGGCGCCAACTGACTGCTTCCAATCCCATGCTCACCAGACTTCTGCGGGCCAAAATCCATGGCAATGGCATCACCCGCCGCCATGCTGCCGCTCGCCTCCATGACGAGTGCTTGCGTGGACCCCGCCCCAAACAGCCCGCCAGTCTGCTTGAGCTGCCAGCCTGCGCTGTCGCTGCCGCGCTGGTGCTGCGTCTGCAGGTGGGGGGCAAAGAGGAGGGCTATCAGCAGAGGTTGGCCCGAACTTCACAGCACGTCGCAGGACAGAGCACAGCGGGCAGCAGCACAGCAGCACGGAGGCCAACTGGGTTGAGAGCGCACCATGTCTGCAAGCGGCACCAGGGCAATGTTGCCGCCGTCAAGCGGCGGGTGCGCTCGAGCGCGCACGGTGCAGGCGGCCCAGAGGAAAGCATCAAAGTTGAACACTGCATGGGTGCCACAGGCAAATTGCATGCACGAGTCAGCCGGGGTGTGGCAGCGTTGGATGTCCTGTGTCCCGAAATGATGTTCAAGCAGTGGCACAGGGAGGTATATCCTCAAGATGCTGGCTGACCGGCCAGCCGCTTCTCAGCACACAGTGAGTGGCTACCTATGGGATCGAAGGCCTGGCTGTTTGGCCCAAACACCTCCGCCTGCAGCTGGTCGAAGCGCTGCTGGAAATAGGCTCGGTAGCCCTGCACGGTGCCCAGCACCTGGCTCCCCTGCAGCTCAGCCAAGTCTGCCTCCTCCCACTGCACCGGGCTGCCGCTGTCGGCGGGCAGCAAGGCGATGTAGGGGGCCCAGCGGCTGGCGTTGCCCATGGCACGCTCGTGCAGCAGGAAGAGGGCGATGGCCAGCCAGGACTCCAGCCTGTGAGAAGGTGGGGTGAGGTGGGGTGGGACAGGACATGCATGCAAATGAAAGGGAGCGAGCATGGCCCAGGCACAGCACCTCTGGCACCAGAGAATCCAACCAGAGATTGCGCTAGTCGATACAGCACAACAACAGCAAACAACTGCCAACGCACCCCGTCAGGTGGCTGCCAATCTGCGACTGCTGTGCTGTATCTGCTGTGATCCAAGCCGCCTCGGGCACTGCAAACAGCTGCTCGCCCTTGTTCACGGCTTTGCTGCACACCAAGATGCCTGCCTTGGGCGTTGCGACCAGCTTGCCGGTGTCGACGCCCGCCGCCGCCAGCAGCGACGCCACGCCCTCCGCCTGCTGCTGCTCCTGCGTGGCTGCCGCTGCTGCGCAGCGCATTCCCCTGCGCCGCCATTGTACAGCTGGCCGACAGGCACTGCGCTGCAAGCCGGTCGTGCGAGGCTTTGGCAGCCTGCTATGCAGGCCGCCCAGAGCCGCAGCGGGCGCTTGCAACGACAATGTGCGCATCTGTGCAACTTTGCAACTCGTTGGATGTGCAAGAAACGCCCATCTGGCCCTCCTAGCAGGATTGGTCGGCCTGAAGAAAACGCAGGCTCATATTGTCTTCTGTTTTGGAATTGATAAACTACCTAGTTGTCCATCATCACCATTGTGTGCCATCATCCCAAACTCGCCAGCCCCCAAAACGCACACCCCGATTGTGATCGTGACTCCGACAGCCTCTCACGACCCTCCCGCCGCATCCAGACGCCCGCCGCATGTCATGAGCGCGGCTGCAGGAGGGGGCAGGTCCCTGGGTGGTGATGCCGGCTACAAGCGCCTCGTGCGGCTGCTGGGGCGGGCCTTTTACTCGGGGGAATGCCCACCACGCGAGGCAGAAGAGGAGGTGCCGGCTGGAGCCCGCTCAACGCGCAGGGACAAGGTGCGGCGGCGGCCAGGGGCACGCACGGTGGCGGCAGCAGCGGCTGCTGACCACGGCTGTGCCTGGCCACCCTCTATGTGCCAGCAGGGCAACATTAGCAAGCTGAATATGAGCCACCTGGGCAGGCCATGGTATGAACTCCCGCCGTAGCTGATCACACCTTTCTGCCTGGCTTGTGCCCCGCAGAACGAGTACATTGGGCTGGGCGTGCTGCTGCTGGACCTGCTGGCGGCAGCGCACGGCTATGTCAAGGATGTGGCCATCACCGGCCAGCTGGGTGTGTCGGGCAAGGTTGCCAACCGCGCACTGCGCTACCTGCAGTCTGAGGGCCTGCTGTCGTCAGGTTGGTGGCTGCCCGGAATGCAAGCCTGAAACTGGGTCCACCCCAGCACTCTACAGCTTGGACAGGCTGCCAGGCGTGCCTGCCTGCTGCAATTTATACTGTCTGCCAGAGGCGTCTGGTTCGCAGTCAGCCCCCACACACTCTGCTTTCCACGCTTTTGCTGGCTGGCAGAGGTGACCAAGACCAAGGTCCGCAGGCAGAATGTGGAGCAGCCAGACGATTCGGAACTGGAGGCACGAATGAGCCAGATGACCAACACCTGGTGGTGCGTGCTACCCCTTGCCACAGCAGCAGCAGCGCGGGCAGGGGGCTGCTGCCGGCGACCGCGTGAACAGCATGGCTAGCCGGCATCCGTTGAGGACACTTGGCAGCACACTGCGGTTGGTGCGTGCCCGCCTACCGACCTGTTGGCTGGCGTGCCCGTTGCCTGCCGGCAGGTGCGTGGCGTACCCGGCGCTCATGGACTCGCTGCAGCTGCGCCTACACCGCATGCGGGAGGTCCTGAAGAAGCACATGGGGCACGGCGAGGACGTGGCGGTGAGCTTCCTTTCATTGTTCTGTTGCTGCCGGGGACTGGGGTGGGGGTGCAGCCAGGGGACCCGCTGCCCTGAGCCACCTTCAGTCAGTCAAGTGACCAGTATGTTGCGACGGCGCCCTGCAGGAGTATTTGTGCCGGCGGTGTGGTGCCACATACACCTCCCTGGATGCTGTGCGGCTGCTGGATCATGCCACCGGCGCGTTCCTCTGCGAGGAGTGCCATGCCGAGCTGGACGCAAACATAGAGGCGGCGGGGCTGGGCGGCAGCAGCGGCGCGGCCAGCCGGCAGCAACTGCAGCAGTATGCCAAGCGCATGCTAGAAAAGATGGAGACGCAGCTGCGCCCCATCCTAGGTGCGCTTGTGTGTGCCCCACGTGAGGGGGGCATACCTGCAATGCATTGCTGGGGACAGTGGCGCCGAGAGGATGCTTGAAGCTGAGACCAGAATGCAGGGCTCAAACCTGGACTGCCTGCCCCGCCTGGTGCAGATCAGCTGGAGAAGCTCAAGGATGTGCCGCCGCCAGACTTTGGATCGCTGCGGGTGAGGGCGGTGGGGGTTGGTCGGGGCATATCCAGCCGTCTGGTTCGCCTCAAGGTTGCAGGTCCAGCATAGGCTTCATGTTGTGTGCTTGCAAAAGCGGTTGGTGCTGGCTCTCGCCCTGCCGCGGGACTGGCACCAGGGGAAGCAGGACCGGAAGCGGCGGCGGCAGGAGCGGGCAGCGCGGCCCCGGAAAAAGATGGGGCCCGGGGGGGGCTCGCATGTGAGCAGTACCTTGCCCCCTTCCAACCTGGCTGGCGGGGGCCGAAAAGCCTCCCAGGGTGCATTCTTGCGCCAATTTTCCCGGTCGCGGGTCGCGTGCCTCTGCCCCCCTTCCTGCCGCTACAGGAGGACCTGGATGATGACCAGGTGCTAGACTGGCTGGCACGGGCCGAGGTGGATGTGCAGCTAGGTGGCGAGGGTGCCGCGGCAGCAGCGGCGGCGGCGGGACCGGGCAAGGAGCTGCCGGCGTGGTTTCGCGGGGCAGCAGAGTCGGAGAGCGTGGGCCTGGTCGCCTCCCAGGAAGGGCCCGGCGGCGAGGCCGAACAGCAGCAGCAGCAGCAGGGCGATGCAGACGAACAGAAGCGGCTGCAGGAGGCCTTCCTGGCGCAGTACCTGGCGCAAGTGAACGCGACGGCGCAGCGGGTGCAGGAGGATGGGGATGGCAAGCTGACTCCAGGTGAGCCGCAGTCCAGCCGCGTGATGGCAGCACCCTGCTGCTGCCCCGCCCGTACGCCATTTCCTGACCCAGGCGCCGCCCGCGCCGCGCATGGTGCAGATGCAAAGCGCATCAAGACGGAGGATGGCTACGCAGGCGTCAAGGCGGAAGAGGCGGCGGGCGGCGAGGAGTGGGAGGATGTGAAGATGGAGCAGCCGGAAGGCGTCAAGGCGGAGCAGCAGCAGCAGCAGCAGCCCTTGCAGCAGGAGCAGCCACCCGACGGCGGCGCGGCGGCAGACGAGGACGAGTGGGAGGACATATGATGGTGCAGCGGGCCTTGCTTGCCCAGCTCATGAGCTTAGAGTGTTACATGCAGCGGCAATGGGCAAAGGAAGACTGTGTAGCGTGAAGGGGGATGGGGGTAGGCGGGCAGGCGGCGGGTATGCCCGGTCAGCCTGGCCGCATTGCAGGGCCCGGACGACGCTTCTTCTCGACCGTTCAACTCGAGCACTTTCACAGGCCGGTCTGCAAGGTACACAGAGGCCAGCAAGGCAAGGCTGACAGGGACTGCTCAAAGCCCTGCTTCTTCTCCTTTCGGCGCGCTCATTCATCAGCGTCAAGCAGCCTCAGCCTCGCTTGTGGCAGCACAGCGACCGGGAAGCGCCAGCAGCAACTTGGTTTTGAGGGAGGGGCGAAGCGGAGCCGCCGTGAGCCCCTCTGAACGCCATTATTCGAAAATTGAGGGCGGAAAGGCAGCTGAGAGACTTAGAAGCGGCCATCACCTTTTCAAGTCATCCGCTGGGAGCACTGTGGGGCCTACGGGCGCCCGCGACACGTGAGGCAGCGGGATGGCTGACCCGGGCGATCAGGCCTCGCTAGAGCCAGGCAGCAAGCCATCCCCATCCGAGAAACTGCCCCATGCACATAAGCGGTGCATCAATAAGGACTGCAGGGAGGTGCTGAGCCTGGCGACCAAGGTGAGAGCGGCGGTGGGGCTGCCCGGAGGCCGGGTTGTGCTGCCGCCCGCCCGCCACCGCCCGCCTCCTCGGCAGGCACCTCAGCAAGCGGCACTGTCGATTTGCTCTCGTGCACTGTCGCTGCCGCAGTACTGCAAGAAGTGCAACGCTGTGCAGTTTGAGCGCAAGGCCTCCAAAAACCGATCTACCGGTGGCGAGGAGGTGGGTGCCGCCCGACTGAACTTGCACGTTGGCACCAAGTTTGCTTGCGGTGGGCACCATGCTGGCACGGCGGGCTGCGCGCTGGCGGTGAGCAGGCGACCGACCAGGCTGGCACTGCTGTTGCCCAGCCTGCCCACCGCTGCCGCTCTGCATGCTGCTGGCTGGCTGCAGGAAGGCAAGCGCATCCCCAAGCGCAAGTCTGCAGACAGCTCTGGCAGCGAGGAGGACATGGAGGAGGATGAGTCGGAGGTGGAGGAGGAGGCGGCGCGGCAGGGCGGGCAGACGACGGCGGCCGCAGCCGCCGCTGCCCCCCGCTTTGACACGGGGTTCACCAACATCCCGCAGGTGGGGCAGCCACGCTGCTGCCTGGGGCGTGCATCATGAGCGACTGGCGCAGAGAGCTGATCGTTGCATCGTGTTGCTGCCGCATCTGGGGCGCGGCGTGCGCACCCATGTGAAAGCCTCACCGCTGTCTGCGCTCCTTACTGGGCTGGCCTGCAGGCCACAAGCTACGCGATCCAGCAGGAGGAGGAGCTGTGTGACCAGGAGCCCTTTGACTGCGCCGACGGCCCCGACAGGCCCATGCTGGAGCTGCAGGCGGGCAGCCGCGTCTACTTCCAGGCCAGCATCATTCGCGAGAGCAAGACCGAGATCCGCGTGCTGTTTCCGGGTGGGTTTGTCTGTTTGGTTTGTGTGTGGGCGGTTGAAGCGGCCCGTCATCTGGGACTGCTGTGGGCTTCACGCTGTCGAGGTTGGCCTGCATCTGCTTGATTGCCGGCTGTGTGGGCTGCCTGTCTGCAGAGACCAAACAGATGGCTGAGCGGCGGGAGTGGGTGGACAAGCGCAGCAGCCGTATCTGGCGGGGCCGCATGGAGAGCCGGTACTGGCGGTACATCAAGGGCTTGGGTGGGTGTTGCTGCGGATGGCAGCTGGCAGCTTGTTTGCTGCCGCAGAAGTGATTTTTTGGTGGCTGAATGGTCTAGCTTGTGTGCTTTGACTCGCGCATGGTTTGCTGGGTGTGAACATCGGCTTGCCGGCTTGCTGCAGACGGCGGGTGGGAGCCCAAGAACGTGCCCGAGAGCACACTAGGCGGCAGCTTCAAGCGCAAAGGCAGCGGCCGCTCGCGTGGCAGTCGCAGTCGTGGCACCAAGCACAGCACAGGTGCGCACTTGATTCTGGTCAGCCAGCCTCCTCCGTCTTTGCCCTGTTTCTGGTCCTTCGGGACGCCAAAATTCTCTCTGCTTCGCTTGTGTGCTATGCAGAGGAGGGCACAGAGTCGGAGCAGCGCAAGGCTGCAGCTGCTGCGCTGGACACAGCTGCTTCCCCCAAGCCCAAAGCCGTGAAGAAGCAGCACAGCGGGCGGCGGCGGCAGCCGCCGCGAGATGCCGTCGATGCAGAGGGTAGCAGCGGCGGCGGCAGCGAGGCCGGCCAGGCCAGCGGCAACAGCGATGCCAAACGCCAGGGTAGTGGCGCCGGCGTGGGCAGCAGCGAGCGGCGGCAGCAGGTGGGGCGAGGCGGCGGTGCTCCTGTGGCAGGCGGCGATCCTCTAGAGGCCTGGTTCAAGCAGCACTATGCTCTGCTCAAGGCTGCCGACCTCCTAGGTGCCGGCTTCCTTCCTGCCAGCGCTGAGACGGGCTGGCCTTGGGGCAACGGCAGACGGCGGCGTGGCGGCCAGCAGCCGCGCCGTGCCAAGCCGGAGGCGGCTGCCGCTGCGCAGCGCAGCCGGGAGCAGCGCAGGGAGGAGCGGCAGGTGGCACGGCAGCAGGCGCAGTCTTCCGAGGTGCGCAGCCACCCATGGCAGGAATCCGTGCCTGCTCTGTTCAGTCAGGCTTGCTGGCTTGCATCTCCCATTCCAAACTCTGCGCCTGGCGTTTGGTGCAGGCGGAGAGCTCGGAGGATGAGGGCCCGGCGGCGGCCGCCCCAGGCAGCGCAGGCGCCGCGCCGCGCGGGCGAGGCGCCAAGGGCGGGCGTGAGCTGAAGCGGTTGCAGATGTGGGCGTGGGAGCGGCGTGGCAGGAGCGACAGCGGCACCTCTGACGAAGACGAGGATGACGAGGATGCGTCAGGCACGATGGGCCTGCTCTCTTTGGCTGAGGCATTCCTGCTGCGCGAAACAACAGCGCTGCTGCAATGGCCAGGTGTTTGCCGACCCTGTCCCTCACTGTCACGGTCTGCTTTGTGCCGTGATTGCTGCAGAAGACGATAGCGGCAGCAAGGACTCAGAGGAGAAGGGATCCAAGAGCGGGGCCCAGCAGCAGGCGGCGCAGCAGCCGCAGGCGCAGCAGCACCCCAAGGCTAAGGACAAGGCGCCTGCGGCAAAGCGCGCGCCTGAGGCGGCGCAGCCGAAGCAGCCAGCGGCCGAGCCCGGCACCCTGTCGCCGCAAAGTGGTGGCAAGGCAGCGGAGCCGCGAGCTGCACCAGGCAGCACGGGCGAAGCCAAGCAGGCACGTGGCAAGCAGCAGCAGTTGCCGGCAGCACCGCAGCCGGCAGCAGTGGAGAAGACGCAGCCCAAGCCACGGCCGCCTCCCAAGCCGCTTGCTGTGCTGGAGGAGTGCGATGTGTTTGGCAAGCTGCCGCCTGTCAAGCGGCAGCCGTCGGGCGTTCTGCTGCCAACCAGCCCACGCGCGGCCGCGGCCGCAGCGCCTGCTGCGGCTGGCGGTGCTATTAAGCCGGGGCCAGCAGCAGCGGGCAGCCAGCTGCAGCTGCCCAAGCAGCCTAGCGATGCATCAGCCAAGGCTCCGTCGGCAGTCTCCCCTGCTGACAAGCAGGCAGCAGCGTTATCGGCACCGGAGCAGCAGCAGCAGCAGCGTGCCGTCAATGGCGGTGATGCAGCAGCGCCCACCCTAGTAGCAGCAGCTGGGGCGTGCAAGCCGGCGCTGAGCCCACTGAAGCGCAAAATGTTAGAACGCTGTGCGCCGGGAGGAGAGGAGGCGTTATTGGCAGCCGGTGCGCCACCGCCAGGCGAACAGCAGCAGCAGCAGCAGCAGCAAGGTGGGGCAGAGCCCCCCGCCAAGCGGCATGCAGTAGAGGCGGGGGATGGCTCGGCCCAGCTGCCTGGGGCTGCGCATGCGGCCCCAGGCAGGTCGCCTAGCCCGCGTAAACGCCTGCTGCAGGTGGCAGCGCCAATGGAGACCTGACCCGGCATGTCCTGCTCTCCGGAGGCCTAGGCAGTACAGCACCTTACAGCAGGTTCATAGAAATGCCACTGGGCATGCCTCGTGTAACAATTGAGAGCAGCCGCTGGGAATTAAAGAGGCAGGGAAAAGGGTCACCAGCAACGAGCACGCAACGGTTCACTTTGTTGGTAGGCGGCAATCCAAAACTCATGCATCGTGTGGGTTCTAGGGACAGGGGAGCAGGTCACAAGCCTCCCGTGGGCGTGGCAGCCCCGTGTCCGACCGAAGCGGGGGCGGGGGCCTGCCGTCCCAGGTAGTAGGGGCACGTGAGGTTGCCGGGGTGGGTCGGGGACTGGATGTCTCCCTCCCACATGAACACCCGCCAATCACCCGTCTCGAAGTAGCCTCGCCGGTACGCCTCGGCCTTGCCCCGGGCATCCACGATGCGCCGCAGCACCGCCTCCAGCGCCGCCCACCGCAGCCGCACGCTGCGGTTGCGGGCGTAGTTGTTGGTGGACTTGTCCTGCAGCTTGTCAAACACGCCCTCCGCCTCCACGATGCCCGGCGCAGACAGCGCGCCGTCGCACGCCACGATGCTCCACCACAGCAGCTGCGAGGTGGGGTCCTGCGCTCGCGTGGCATCAGGGATTGGGGTGGCAGGTCATGATGGTTGTGTGGCTGCCCAGCTTTGTCAGCAGGCCACCTCCCTCGCCACAAGCACCCATCCACACACACAGACACCCACTGCACACAAACAGCAAAGCAGGCTCTCACATCCATGTTGAACTTTGCCAGCGCGTGGCCCCAGGGGCTGCTGTCGTATTCAAATGGGATCACCTCCACAACGCTGCTGCCCGGCTGCAGGAACATGGAGTTGTGCAGGTTGGCGCCGTGCATGCCCACAAACACGTCGGCCTCCAGGGCAGCGGCGGCGCCCGACGGCAGGTCGACAAATTCGACCTGCAGGCCCGGCGGGCGAGGCAGGCGGGCGGGCGGGCAGAACTGGGCATGTCACGCATGTTTCACAACACACAGCAGCAACGGGTGAGCGGGCAAAGTCCGGGTGCCAAGGCAGCAGGCGCCGCGGCACGGCATGCATTCCAAACCTCGCTGCACTCCAGCTTGTAGGTTGTCCTGCCGCCCCGAGGCACATACGTCCAGCCTTTGCACTGCTCTATCAGCTCCGCCGTGTTGAGCAGCTGCCGGCCGCTGCTGGAGCGCTTGTGGAAGGCCAGGCGCAGCGTGACGATGCCGCCACGCAGCCGCAGCTTGCAGGCGCCGGTGCAGGGCGGGGCGGCGGGCTGCGGCAGCAGCTGCTCCTTCCGCATCCACTGCACCATGTGCTGGCCCAGGCGGTACTGGGTGGAGGGCGTGCCCAGGGTGCCGTTGCCGCAGAAAAACAGCTGGCGGAAGCAGCGCTGCTCAGTGCCTTCGTAGCTGGGCGGCTTGGGCGGCGGGCCGCGCTTGCTCTGCACGTGGCGCGCATGCAGGAGGCCCAGGTGATAGCATCACAACCACCAGAAATCAGTGCAGCCTTCCCGAGCGCTGCATCAGGCTCCCAAGGCGCAGCGCCCTGCTCTGCATGCGCCAGCACTCACCGCGCGGCAGGGTGGGCTGCTCCAGCTTGCCCAGTGCGGCAGCCGGGTGCTGAAGTCGGCAAACGACTCCGCTGACATTGTGCTGAGGGAGCCCAGGATGAGTTCCAGGTGAGGGAACATGCCCAGCCCATCACCCGTCAGCAGCACAAGCTTGATGTGCTCCCTCCATGGGGTCGCCTCCAGCGCCGACAGCAGCTGCGAGCCGGTATCTGCGGGCGGGCACGCACGGTCGGCGGCAACAGGTACCGCTCAGTGGGCTGGTGGCTACTCTTTGACGGCTGCAGCATGGCAAGGCAAGCGGCAGGGCAAGCGCTGTGCCGGACACGACTCCAGTGCGCCAACATGCCACAGCCTCAAGGCAGCGCAGCGCACCTCGGAACGCGTGGCCCAGGTTGTCCTGCCACATGGGCCGCCAGATGACGGGCACCGTGCAGGATGACCAGGAGGGACGTGCCAGGTAGCCGCGCGGCTCCATGGAGCTGGCCGGCCGCAGGAGCGGCAGCGGCACCTGCCGGTCGTCCAGCCGAGGGTCCTGCAGCGCCCAGGGGGCCAGCAGGGCCGCTGTCGGCTGGCCAGGCCAGGCAGGCCCGGTGCTGCAGGCGCTGCGCGCATGGCAGCAGCCACGGCGCCTGCTGGGCACTCACCATGAACATGTAGCGCAGGCGGCGGCTGGCGCTGGTGCGGCTGGCCCGCCTCAGCTCGGCCTCCACCTCGCTGCCGCGCTTCACGCCGCCCATCAGCCACGGGTATCGCATCTTTATTCCGTTCCCCCATGGACCCTGCAGGAGGGCGGGGAAGTAGGAGGCAGAGCAGCGAGGGGTGTGGCGGGGGAGGCACAGGCAAGGCGGTCGACGCCGCGCTGGTCAAAGCCACATCGCAGGCAATGCATCGACACAGTCTTGCTCTGCCCGGCGACGCCGATGCGCACTCACCCGGGATTTCAGCGACGGCATCCTGGCTGCCTGCCGCAAGCCGACCTGCTGGTATTCCTCACTGTGGAGGATGAGGTAGGGGTTATCCAAACACACATCCTGCAGCGCAGGGCAATCGGCAAAACATTTGTAAAGCGGAAAGCTGTCAGCGATAGCGGCAAGCAGGCAGGGGCCCCAAGCTGCACATGCTGGGAAAGGAGCGGACAGCCCTGGATCACCTTCAAGGCTACACAGTGCTCCGCCCAGGGGCTGCCAGCAGCGTCGATGTGGCACTCCTTCTTGCCCAGCCAGCTCGGTTGCCGCGGCGGCGGCGGGCCGCACCCTGCCACTGCCGCCCAGCTTTGGCGCTGCCAAAGCGTGGTCAGTAGTAGGAGCGCGCTGAGCGCAAGGGCCGTCAACAAGAGCAGGCCCGACCTCCTGCAGCGCTTGCGCAGCAGTGGTAATAAGAGTTGAACACGGTTGTTGCCACTCGCAAACCCAGCCCTTACCTGACTGCTGTGGGCGCTGCATGGCCCATTGCGCGCGATCCGTGCCAGAACAGGTCGTGTGCTGCGCCGGGAGACCGTACTATTCTTCGAGCCAGTGCCACGGTGCCAGAAGTTTTTCAAAACCCATCTTGATCGTCACGCTATTGGCTTCCTTGAAGTCCTACTAGGCTGTTGAGATCGGCACACATGCATGGCACTGGGGACGCCTGCTCCCAGGCGGCCCCACCGCCACCGCCTTCAAATGCCGTCCCGGCATTCTGACTCTGAACTCCTGATCACAAGGGGGGCGACATATTGTCCAGAAATGGGATTTGAGCCCTCCCACAATACAATTGGCGGGAACGGGCGGGGGAGCAGGCGACTGAAGGTGGCACGAATTTGCTGTGCGGCAGTCAGAATCTCAGGCACGTGAGTCATGTAGTCAGAAAAAATGACAGCCATAATGGCAACAGTGCAACAGTGAGGTCAGTATGCTGGATACTTGTACTTGTACAACAGGGTGGGCGGCAGCGCCAAGGATGTCAGTCCAACAGGAGCGTCAGTCAACTGTGAAGGCAAAAATCCAAGGCTCCATCTCGAGGTTGCTGGGCGTGATGCAACGATGTTTGCGCAGCTCCTGCCCAGGACGGCCCACCAACCAGGGCTGCAGGCAGGTGGGCAGGCCACATCAACAGCTGCAGCATGATCAGGCGGAATAGCATCACAGCGGCACCGCAGCTCCTCACAGTCCTTGCCGGCCCAACTCACCGTGGACACCACACACACTTCGTACTTCCCGCCATCTACATCCGAGCCCTCCATACGGCACTGGAAGAACTCGTCGTTGGCACGCCTGAATCTGCACACAAAGGAACGCGACCTATCAGTTGTACTCGAGTCGATCCAAAGCAGCTCATCTCATTTCATCATAATCGCCCATGAACCGCCGTGCCCACATGCTTGCGGCTCGCCTGTTCTCCTTCTGCTGCAGTGCCCACACCAGCGCCCGGTTGGTCTTTACGCCGTGCTGCTCAAACTTGGCCTCCCACCAGTGCCTCGGCCGCAGCAGCGAGTGCAGCTTGACATTCTCGTACGACTTGAGGCTGATGCTGAGCACGATGTGGCGCTTTGCCACGCGCACCAGCTCTGACACTACCGCATCCGCCTGGGGCACATGGGGAATGGAGGGGCAGGACTTGGCCGGCTGAGCATGGAGTGCGGCAACAGCAAGGGGGAGCCCTCGCCGTGGGACCCACCTGCTCCGGCAGTATATGCTCAAGCACGTCGGAGCTGAACACCACGTCAAACTGCTTGTCTGCGGCACAGGGCACACCAAGTGCCACGATGAGCAACACAGGCAGCAGTGGTGCAGGCTGCCGCATGCGAGGCGGAGTGCTGGTGGGAAAGCAGTACACACCGCTGCCACCAGCGCCCCGGCATCTCGCTGCGCCGCACCCTGGTAGGGCAGGTCTGTGAGGGAGCCCTGCTCCACACGTCCCGCCTTGAGCAGATCCATTGCATCCCGCTCCAGCACCGCCTGCGACAGCTCGATGCCCAAGGCCGACTTGCCGCGCAGCTGCATGGCCCGCACAATGCCGCCATTGCCTGCGGGCAGCGTGAGCGGCAAGCTGTGTGCACTCCAGGCCATGTGGCAGCTGCGACAGACGATTCAGACGAGTGCTGGGCCCGTAGCATTCACTTGCTCCATGTGGGTGAACAGACGGACAGGTGCTGCACAAATGCAGGCATCGCGTGCTCAACTTCTGCCCCGGCCCACCTGTGCCTGCATCCAGCACAGTGTCGAAATCGAGCCGCGCCACCACGTCCCCCACAAATCGGCATCCCCAGCAGCTGGACTTTTTGTAGCTGTCATCTCCTGTCCACATTTTGTCGTACAACGCCTGCTGGTCAGGATTGTTAGGCGGCTGGAAACCGGGCCGCCGCAGCGGCACCCACGACTCATTGAATTTGGGGTCCTGTATCCTCCTGGCGGCTGTAGCCACCACGTCGTATGCCAGGTCCACTTGAAGGTCGGGGCAATTGGACACAGTGACCGAGCTGGTCACCTTGATCGACTGTGCAGCGTCCCCCACCGCAACGCCGTTGCCGCCATCCTCGCTGCCCGGCAGCAGTTTGGCGCTCCGGGCTGCATGGCTGTGCGGCGCGCTGCTGCGTTGGCCCAATAAAAACGAACCAATGGCCAACACCAGCGCAAACACGGCCTGCAGCAACTGCCGGCGCTGGACTCGGGAGCCTCGGCTGTCGGGAGGTTGGCGCATTTGGTATGTGGCAGGCCATGGGAGGTGCCCTGAGCTTGGATGAAGAGGTTGGAAGGAAGGGACCAATTGTTGGTACGCCACGGGTCCTCTGGAGACGCCTCGCTCCTCACTCTCAACCAAGCCATGGCTGGTCTGACCAGCTCGATGGAGCCCATCGCTTGTGACAATGAAGAGGCGCAGACATTGTGATCACGTCGGTGCAATCGCCCCAGTCGCCTTTGCTCTGGGGCAGCTGGCGCTGGTGGGATTGGCCTGGTGGTTGCTGCAGCCAGCGTGCAGTCAGCAGCATCTGCCGCTGCCGCCGCCCCACCAGCGTCGACGTGGGCCCGCCTTCCCAGACGCGGGTGAGCGTCTGTTGAGACTGAGCTATTTTCAGCAGCAGCGCCTTGAAACTGCAATCCATTCTTGGCGGCGGGCATACTTGCCGCCTAGAGGGGTGGGTGAAGAGTCGGTTGGGGAAGCCAAGCCAGGGCGTATTTTGTTGCCAGTGCCGTTTATTATTCACCCAGCGCTGCTGAGCAGGAAGCGTATCCCCTGTCAAACGCGGCAGCAAGCGTTTCACACATACGGCAGATGGCCTGCGAGTTGCAGAGTGAGAGAGCGGTGGCGCTGCATTGGCCGCCCTGCCATGGTGGCCCCATACTTGCCGCTGTACTGTTTTTTGACGAGGCTGGTGGTCATGTAGGCAGTGCGAGGGAGACGACGCAGGGGCCCTGGCCACTCGATTCTTGACTCTCAAGTCGGCAGAACCGGACTTCACTGCTTGCCCCGCTTGGCTGTGGCTCGCTAAGCTGCAAGGTGGTTGGGTGTGCTGAACTGCCGTGGTGCTGGCTTGTGTCGATCTGAGCCGGCTGTCCCACTCTGTGCTTTCACAGCTGCGCACCGTTGCATACCTTCGGCCTGTTGCCTGGCCCTGCTTGCAGAGCTATCCCCAAACGGCAGCAAGGCATTCTTGGATGTGGGCTGCGGCCATGGTGCGGGGGCGTGTGTTGTTTGCACATGTGATTTGCCAGGCGGAGAGCCCGCAGTCAGAGGCCCTGTGTTGGATCTCTGTTTCTTGTTGCAGGGTACACCAGCGCGGCGTTATTCAGCCTCTGGGCGCCCCAGCTGGGGTTTACACCGCAGGCGCTTCATGGGTTGTTTCCGAGAGCACCCTGCGGAACGTGCAACCAGTGCCAGGAGCAGGTGTGTGAGAGGCACCCGGTTGCGCGTGGCAATGAGCTGTTGGCACCTGGCAGTTCAGGGATATTGTTGAGGACGGCTGCCCTCTGCAGGTGGCCTCGGTAGCAGGCACCCGATCGCATATGTGGCTTCAAGTGGTGTGTGTAGAGCCTAGCCCTGCAGCCTACACCCAGCTTGTCAGCGCCCGCAGCCACTTCCTGAGCTCGGTGTCAGGCATACAATGGTGCGTCTGCCTGCTGCTGTCCTTTGTTGTGGTCCCCATTTTCCTTCCGCAACGCAGCCATGTGTTCATCCTGCTCACCTGCCCCTGCAGGCACCTGGTGCAAGCAGGTGTCAGCAGCAGCAGTGGTTATGCAGCTTTCACGCGCTGCACTCAAGGTGGAGGCGCCTGCGGCTTGGATTTGCTCAGCGGCATGGGTACCACCAATGACAGCAGAGCTCTCCCTCCTAGCGACATCGACCTGGTCCATGTGGTGACTGTGGATGAGCTTCTAGCCATGCACCAGCTGCAGCATGTTGACCTCCTCAAGGTGGGTGTGCTGCTGCTGCGAGCACCAGCCATGCTGCTGCTCATGCTAGGAGCAAGAGGAAGTAGCACAGAAGCCCAACACTTCCTACCGTTGTTTTCACCTGCTCTGCTACCCTCTCTGGTGCAGATTGATGCAGCAGGTTTGTCAAGAGGCCAAAAGCGTGGCATCCAGCTGTCAGGGCAGGCACTGCTTGTGCCCGCCCACCTTTGTTGCTTCCATGTCGATGCCAACTGGCTGCTGCCCGTGCATGTGCAGGTGCCGAGATGTCAGCAATAGGCGGCGCCGTGGCAAGCATTGCAGCTGGGAGGGTGGGCGTCCTGACCTTTTTGTACGACGGGCACAATGAGTGGCAGCACGGCAAGCTGCGGGATGTGATTGCGCGTATGGATGAGCTGGGCTATGCCTGCTACCTCGCAGGTGGGTGCCAGGCTTGTGTCTGGCCTAATGAGCAGGTAGGCTGCCACCGAATGATTTGTTCTTATCATTGGCTTGGCTGCAGGCAAGCAGACTGCAGAAGGCTCCTTATTGCGCTTGACGGGCTGCTGGCGGCCCAGCTATGAGACACGCACGCCCAGCACCATCGTAAGTGCCAGCAGCAAAGCCTGCATGCCGTTCTGCCATCCAGCCTTTGCCGAAAAAGCTTGGCTCTGCCATGGCAATGCCGCTGTGCCTGTCACCTGCGCTACTCACTTGCTGCCCGCAGGTGTGCGTGCCGCGAAGCCATGCGCTGTACCCTCATGTGGAGCGCATGAGCATGCGGTACAGCCTGTACCGTGAGGAGTATTTTAAGGAGGATGCGGTACAGCCTGAAGCAGCACAGCCAGAACAACAGAGCGGCATGCTAGAGTAGCACCGGTGCGCAGCTTGACCCTCACGGACAACCTGCAAGATTGGGCAGCTGCCCCACAGGCCTTCATCTTTCATGCTCCCCTCTCCCGCTGCCAGCTGTACCCAAACAGTGAGTGGGGGGTTGAGCTTTCTTGGCCGGGCCGTCCTGACCGTGACTGCAAGCCTGCAACTTGCTATCTGCTGTGGCGGCGCATCATGTCTGGCCCTCCAATTGAAGCTGTGTCTGCATTCATCCCACACCTCTTTCACCCTTCATCCCTTCACAATTCCACGCACAATGCGGCCCCCCGCCGGACTGCAGACTCCGTGCAGCTTCTACCGCCGCTGCCTCCGCCGGCACCTGCCAACACCAGCGCTCTCCCATTCCTGTTTGACACTGCCAGCATGCCGACCCGCAAGACCGCCTGCTCGCACTGCCCTGCCTGGGAGCCTGAACCGATGCCTCCCTGCTGCGGCGTGTGCATCTTTGCCAGGCGCCGCTGCACCGACTTCTACCCTCGCCAGGCGCTGTCCGACACTGTGGCCCGCGACCTGTTGGACACCGGCTTTCCTCTCCAGGTTGGGGCCGGCCAGCCTCACATCAAGCCTCAATACGTGCAACCATCAGCGCCCTGGCCTGTTGATGCCTGTAGGACTTCACGCCATGCGAGCTGTTCCAACGCATCCGCGGCCGCACGCTGTGGTTCATGGGCGACAGCCAGATGCTTCAGTTCTATTATGCGGCAGAGTGCTTCCTGCGGGAGTTTGCGCCCTCGCTGCGCCGCACGTGAGACAGGCCAGGGGCCTGCCACATCTCCGTCGCCGCACTCGCTGCCAGCTCACGTGCGGCGCCCCCCGGGATGCACGTAGTGCATTGAGCGGCGGTGGTGCTGCGTGCAGGCCTGCCGTCCCATTCCCTGACAACCACGAGCTGATGACGGTGCGAGCGCCAGTGCCATACCCGCCCATCTGCCTGGACCTGGCTCTGGGCACGCGCGTGTGTGCTGTGCGGGTGGACGCCGTGAGGGACCTGATTGACACGGTGCGTTCCTTTGTGTCGTCCTCGTCTCTGAGAGAGGCACTGGCTGTGTGTGTGCCTGAGGCGACGGCAGCGGAAAGGGTTGGGCAGCTGCGAGGTGGATGGGTGCCAGCTGGGCACATGCGCCGGGGCGGCAGCGGCCAGCGGCCTGGCGCCAGCCGGGCTGACATGGCAGCCGCGTGCTCGAACTGAATGCAGGTAATTCCCAAGATTCAAGCCTTAGTCCCCAATTGCCACAATGACGGCATCGTCGTGCTCAATTTTGGGTGGGTGAGCTCTTGTGGTCGGCTCCGTCTGGCTAGCTGCTGCTCCCCTGGCCTGCACAGCAATGCCATGATGCTCGAGCATGCTGGTACTGGGAATGCACAGCACGCCAACGCTCCCCACAACCGCGGCCTGCAGGCTGCACTACCCCAAGCCCGGGTCGGGAGGGCGTCCGGTGGAGCAGAGCTTGCTAGTGCGAGGCATCCATCGGCTGGCCGAGTGGCGGCGGCAGCACCGGGCAGAGTTGCCCCCTTTTGTCTGGATGGACACTCCTGTGCAGGCGAGCAGCTTGCGGCAACCGCCCCGCCCGCTTCCCTCCTGGCTAGCAGGCAGCCGTGCTGCCGCCACCCCTGCTGTTGTCTGCGCCCCAGCTGCCTCCGTCTCTGCCGCCGCCGCCCAATGCAGCACTTCAAGTCCCCAGACGGCTCCTGGCCGGGCGGCCCCAAGCCCTTTACCTGCGCGCGGCTTGATGCCTGGATGGAGGGTGACCCAGCTGTGCTGGCTGGCGGCGCCTATAATGCTGCCATCGTGCATCTGCTGCCGGCCATTGCCGATGCGCACCTAAAAACCTGGAATGCCACGGCGCCGCTGTGGCGCACCCACTGGCCCGACGAGTGCAGCCACTGGTGCCACCCTTCAGCCTACCAGCTGTGGTTGTTCCTGCTGAATGCAGTGCTGCAGCGCCGCCCGCTGGGCAGCAAGGTGGTGGTGAGGGGCGGCGCGGACCTGTCGCGTCGCTTGGCCGCCTCACCGCCCGCAGCGAAGCAGTGAGCCACAGGTTTGCCATGTGGCCAGAGTGCCAATGCCATACATTCTATTTGATATTTCCCTCCAGTGAACCAACGCTTGTACCAATTTTGTGTACCAATTTTGTACCAATTGTTTTACAAAACTTGAATTCACACTGTGCATTGCATGAAGTTAACAAGCGATCCCATTTTGGGAAGTGCATGCATGCCTCTTCTCGTTGTCCCCGCACTGACACAGGAATTCATTTCATTCAGTCCCTAGGAATTCATTTCACTCAGTCCCGTGGTAAATAAAGGCCTGATGATGGTTGGCAACACTGTAGAAGCACGGAAGAGCCCGTTGCCGCTTGGTCTCCTGCCTGGTGGCAGCGGGCGGCAGGCCCTGATGAGTGCATCGGTATGCAGGTCTGCATGCAGTAGCATTCCTGCCATGGAACCTCCTAGGTCTGGTGGCGTCCAGCGCAATTGCAACGCGAAGTCCATGCCACGTGCTGAGTGCTGTGCCCCGCCATTTGGTTGGTGACACGCCCTCTCGGCGCGCACTCCCCTGACGCTGCACGCTGCCGCCATGCTTACTTCAGGGCTCGGCGGCCTAGCTAGAACACCATGGCACCCGCCCCCTGCCCCAAGTGTGGTTACCAGCAGCATCAGCCGCGCCGTTCAAAGGGCGTCATTGCTTTGGTCACACTCAGCTTCATTACCGCCGTGGTGCTGGTGAGCCAGCAGACGCTAAGTTTCCGCTCCTCCGCCGCCGCCGCCACTGGGAAGCCGGCAAAGGCAGCCACGGCAGCGGAGCTAGAAGCAGCAGGTGGAGAGGGGGATGAGCCTGAAGCATTGCAGCCAGCGCAGCCTAAACCAGCAGATTGTGGAAGGTTTGGGCTTGAACTGAAAGAGGAGGAGGTGGCAGACAGTGTGGGCACATGGGCCGCCGCACAAGCGCCCCAGAGCTTCCGCACACCCCAATCCCGCTGCGCCGTGCTGCATGACGGTGAGTGATGAGGCGGGATTGCTATGCTGGTCGCATTAGTCAAGTGGCAGTTGCTGATGGCTTGATGCCCACCAAGTTGGTCCGGCTGTGTGCACATTGAACAGCATCCCATTGCCCCCACCGGGCCATGCAGGCTCAGTCCGGCTGCCAGCAGCACATGACGCAGATACTGCAGCCCTTCCTTTTTTGTTTGACACAGCCAGCATGGCCAACTGGTCGGCAGCATGCGGGCACTGCACGAAGAGGGAGGTGGTGCATTGCTGCGGCGTCTGCACCTTTGACAGGGAGCGCTGCAACTCGCTGTACCCCCGCCAGGACAAGCCCAAGGCTGTGGCCGACCTACTGATGCGCAGCGGCTTTGCGGTTCAGGCGAGTGCCAGGCCCACGCATGCGCATTGGCCGTGAGGTTTGAGGCCTGTTGCATCATTTCGCTGCGATTAGCAGCGATGAGGGCTGTTTAACCTGCCTGTGAGAATCTGCCTGCCTGCAGGCCTTCACGCCCTGCGAACTATTCCAGCGCATCCGAGGCCGAACGATGTGGTTTATGGGCGACAGCCAGACCTGGGCCTTTTACTACGCGGCAGAGTGCTTCTTGCGAGAGTTTGCGCCCTCGCTGCGCCGCACGTGAGGTGGTCTAGG